GTCATGAGCCGTTCCAAACCGAGGATTGAGACTTACGGTTCTAAAAATCTACAACCAGAAATCCGTGTCAGCTTGGCAGTGTCTAAAATGTACGGTCGGGCGGAAGGAATGGACAGGCAGTCATACACGAATGGCTGTTCACATGTTAGCGATTGCGGGTCTAGGATAGGGAATGGGCTGTTTGACTTACGGATTTCACCACGGTTGGCGACTGTAGGAGAAAGAGAATGGAGTCAGCGCAAGTCCTCATGATACGCAACGGGGGAGATATTGTTCCCGAGATAAGCCATTGGTGGCTGTCAAGAAGGCGCCAGCTACTCACCAAGAATCTTCTTCACATGCATGATGCTAGAGTTGGCACGGATGTGGTGGACCGTGTTGGCCTCCTTGGGCTCATCGATATCTTCCTCCTCGAAGACATCGTTGAATGTGAGTGGTTGCTGGGGAGCAGCGGGAGCGATGCCAGCCATCTTGGGCGATCTGTGTCAGCGACTTCAGGGATATGAAGAGGTTGAAATGAGCGAAGGCGAGAAGCTCTGGCAAAGTGGGAGCTTTATCGAGAGCTTAATGGCGGGGTCTCTTTGACTTTTGGTGGTGGGGTAATGAGCACGCTTGTCGGTATGAAGATACCACGACAGCTCTTCCAGCTCACGAATGGCTGCGATATCACCCAACAGCACAAAGAATCGGAGGCAGAGGGTATACTCAGTAGCGATAAAGAAAGGTATGAGGGTTAGAAGAGAGAGATCGAAGGGAAGGGATGTGCAGGCGGGCGAGGGGATTTTGTAGAGCAGTGTAAACCCCCAAGCGTGTCGTCGGTGACACACCCGGCCTCCGGGGGGAAGAGCTATCCAGGACGGGAGGGCGTGCGATTGAGAAAGCGGACGGTGAGGGGTGTGTAGTTTGGAGAAAGCCCGAAGGGACCAAGGTGTGAGAAGGCGCGCAACCGATCCCATACCATACCATCCCAAGAAACCGTACGGCGCGGGCGGAGTCCTCTCCCACTCGATCTCCATCAAAAATTTCCAAAGAACAGCCAGGACATGCCACTAAAACACGATCAAACTATGACTCTAACGGATCTGTTTCGGCCTTGGAGACGTATCTCCAGGAGGTTACGAGCGTAAATAGAAGCGCGGTATTCTACACAGAACAGAAGACTCTTGAGGCGGTTCCCTGCTAACGGCTGAGGAGTGGAACTTGAGCTCGGCCGCGCAGCTACCTACTGTACCGCGGTACCTCGCCAACCTAAATTCTCTTGTTACCCATGCTTCTATGGCGTACAAGTGAAGTGTGGTCACTTTCCCGCTGAATATGATTCCCCTTTTGTGTTATGTTGTAGTGCATTCATCTAGCACTCACGGATCTATGGAGATTTTGGAGATGCTGTTAACCGGGCCGGTCATAATGATACCACCAGCTGCAATATGCAATGGGGGTTACCACCAGTTGCAGAAATGGAAGAAGCAATGAGGGCAGAAGGCGGCTATATAAGCAAGAGCGGCAACGGCACCAGTATGGCGGGATGTGCCTCGAAACACTGGGTACAAACATGAGAAGAGCGTGGTGGTACGGCATGGCTTCAACAATAGATTTCATCGCGCCTCACCCGGGAACAGTCAAAATGAGAACAGGTCACACAGGCATGGGGGAGTATGGGGGTGTGTGATCAACCAAGATCTGTCACAAATCCGCACAAGTATTCTTACGTGGGTTATGATAGCGAAACAACATCTATTTGCGGTCTCTCCCTGGGGTAGCCATGGAGATACCTACTAACTCAGAGGAGCGCCTATCAGATGGCCAAGGGCATCCGGCTGGTCAAGTGCCGGTGCTTCGAAACGCGACGATTGACAATCCACGAACCGTAAATGATGAGCTTTGACAGCGACCTGTTTTCTCGGTCCTGTTTGCAACGAACAGCGAGAAAGAAAAAAAACGTAAGTTGACGCAACTCATTCCGCCGACACATCTTTGTTCAACCAAAGCCATTGGCCAATCAACGCTCTCTGATAGTGACTGGTCTCCCCTCCATGACTTGAGGGTATTATTTGGCTCGAGCTCGGGGTTTTACTATCAGTTCTAGTTATCTGCCTATATCTCGATATTCATCTCTCGAGCTTTCACATAATCTCAACACCCGCCGATCATCGATTTCTGCCCTCACGTACCTTACCAGACTCAACCTCTCGGCAAAAGAAAAGTCTTCTCCTCAACAATCCGGCCTAAAGGTGCTTTGCGCTTCCTTGTGTTTCGTCCACGTACACCGACCAGCGCGCACCTTACCTCTAGGGGTTTTGATCCTAACCTCTAGAGGTTGCCGCACCGCAACCTTTCCTCTAGAGGTTTATATGTCCCACCCGCCTGATGTTGGCGTAGGAGCGAGCAATCTGCTCGCCTTGCCCATGGGTTGCCATGCCATGGACCAAGGGAAGTCCAGTCAGAGGATCCACGTTGGCATCATACTGGGCCTTCCATAATGCCGAGGATGTTGTCGGTTCTGAACGATGTGCAGCACCATCTGGTTAATTCACCCTGGATCCCTGCCTTGATGGCTGTAACAGCCAGAGCCGCAGAAGCTTCCCCTCTTGCTGCATCGCATTTTCCGCAGTATCTCGGGATTGAAGTCATTGGTACCGCAGCCGCTCTCTGTCCACCGTAACACCGCACACCTTAACCAAAGAGATCTACCTGACCCCCACCATTGATTGGACCCTGACTGCTTTTGTTGTCCAAGCTTGAATCTCAATCTGAAGCTCGTGCAATCCCCAAACATCAAACCAGGGCCACCAGGCTCAAGTCCACAGACGCATGTGGGGTATCACCGTATCGCCATCCCAGGTGTTTTGAAGCATTTACGCTACCCGCCGCTCGCCGTTTGATCTTGTCTTCTTTTTAGGCTGTATATGATATCAATTTTACAACAGTCATATCATTCTGCTATAAAAACTTTGCTTAAAACCACAGTCACCCAATGGAAAGGTGATTGGGGACAGTCGACAACCAGTTCGTCAGTTCACTGATCGTGATAGGTCACATGGAGTTGCACAGACTTACAGACCGTGAACCTCTGTCAACCAGGAATGACGATCACGCCCTGGTGTTGTTACATACCCTCGTACGTACTTCGTTTGAAGAAAATTCCCCAGCCCATGTTTGATTAATTTCTTCTCAGAGTCAATTTCCTGTCTGCATCATGTGTTTATTCCCACTACATTCCACCCCCACGGAGGTCAAAGACCGGTGGCACCCTGAACACTTAGTTTTAGATGAGATCGAACCAGCCAAAGCCCGCCTTATCCCAGCTACTTAGGGTTCATGAGCAATAAGGAATCGGCATCCATTCTTCAGAAAAGGTTTACGCAATTTAGGTCTAAGTTTTAGTCTTCTTTATGTTATGCTTTGAGAAGATTTTCTGAAACTTATGAATACTCTTATAATAGAAGTTAATTAGTCAACATGTAACTATCCAAGGGTCTCTCCTCTTTTTCGTGCACTATCAAGTATGATGGCGGCATAGCCTGCCTAACCAATCTCTCGGTGGATGAAGACCGGCGCATTGCATTTGTTGACTAAAATGACGCTTTCATTGGTGCGCATTTGGCCGCTCTTTGCTCAATATGTTGGATTTTGTGACACTATGCTGCCACTCTGCAGGACATGAGCCTCCACTGGCGATGATAACTACTTACAAAATCTTTTCTTGTCAGACGGACAGATTCTATCATCCCCGGATTGGACATGAGTTGCCAGGTGTGAATACTCAGGTGTTCACTACCAGGTAGGTGTAGAAAGCGAGCTAGGTCCGACCTCGGACTTCGGTGTACCCCTCCGAATAACTTGTTTAAGAAATTTTGGCAGAAGAATGAAATTAAGTCGAGAGGCAATTGGGGTAGGGCTGAACAAAACCGAATAGGAAGGCATTCTCTATTCGAATTCAACTAACTGGTGCACGGTGTGTATCCAGAAAAATGGTTGACTGAAATGGTTGAAGCACTGGCGTTTTCCCCTCACAAATGCCGGGCTGGAACAGGCGGTTGGAGTCAAATCTGGAGCCTATGACAGTGGATTATCGACCTATGGATGTTTCCACTGGAGTATTACATAGCAAACATTTGAGGCTTCTTGATATCACGATTCTATGTGACCAATTACTCTTCGTTCAAGTGGCAGTGATGTGAAAAAATAGATGCATATAGCTTGCCGATTATTGCTCAATGTTGAGCAATGTCATTCAGTAAGAGATCTACTTCTAAAATCGAGCTCCGTCCTCACGCCTCACACCCAGTCATGAAGCGCTGCAGACTATACAGATCATGTGGGATCCTCGTAAGGGACTCGAGATGATGCCATTCCATACCCGACAGGCGGTTAGCATAGGCAACACGCGGGTACGGTAATGGTTGGGTAATAACCGCAAGTGTTGCCGGCGTTGCAGGTCGTTCACCGAGGATCCAAAACTACAGAGAAGGTTTATCCCCACGTTCACGGACAGAAGCCGACCAGAACATCACCAGATCCGCCTGACAAAGGCTGGGGTAGGCACACTGACCTTGCATTTGCTGATCAATGGCAGCTAGTCAGTTTTCACCCCTGGTTTTCCTTTCACCTTGACCTTATTCCGTCACTTCGGGAACCTGGTGGGGGAAGGCCAGGCACAGGCACGAGAATAGTCGGGAACTTCTATGCAAGATTCGGGAACCAAGGGGTCCGCCCCCAGGTCAGATCTATGTTTGTATCTTGACTTCAAGGGAGCTACGTACCTGGTTCGCCCAGATGCAAGGGTGCGTGCATTATATCGTTACTGAATTGAAACCACACACATCTTGTTCCTTGAAGTACAAATGTCGAGACCGTAACAATGAATGAAAATGTCAACAAGCCTTGTTACATAAGTACCGGTACACAAAATTGCTACAACACGAGCATGCAGTTGACATGTCTCGAATGCGAATCTCATACCAATGTGTCACTTTCATCAAGAAAAAAGCATCGGAAGCCCTCCCGGGGAATTCATTGTATCTCCGTTTTGCGGGGAGCACTCCTCCTCATCACTCGCTCGTAGCATCTCAATGTGGCATTTGAAGGCTTGATTTCTTTGCTCTAACCATATTCATTGACCTAAGGGCCCCCGCAACAAGATCTTCTCGTAGCAACTCTTCAGGCACGAGTACTGCAAAGACCCCAACTCGGGGTGCGATTCTAGATGTTCGAGGGAACAAATTCTTGTAAAGTTACAACGTTATTGTGCGGTAGCTGTGTGCTGCCACTCTCCGAATCCCGAGGTACAACCCGGGGACACTCCTATTATGGACGGCATGCAGCCCGACACACCGATCCCTTCCAGTGACCGTCGGTCTGGCAATCTCTTTATTTGCTGACAGCATTCTGAACCTTCTCCGTGGCCTTCTCAACCTTTCCCTTGGCAGCCTCGGCCGCCTGTGCCAGCTGCTCCTTGGGCATATTCTCCTTTCCGCCCCAGTAATGGTAGTTGAGGTATCGGTATCCTTGGGTGAGCTGGGCGCCAGCGTTGACAAAGTGGCAGGCAAAGAGGAGGTAGTTCTTGGGTGTGACAGCCAGTGAGTATCGCATGAAAGTACCGGCGTAGATGATGAGAGCACCAGTCATCTGTCCCGAGATCCTGGTAGAGGCAAAGTCAGTTACGCTTGGTGACAATGCATTATTGGTCTACCATACAATTCAGGGCTCTTCTGCGTGTCCATGATGGCCGCGAGAGGGATACCAAAGTTGGAGACAGGGCCCCAAAAGTCTGCAAATATCAAGAGTCAGTCCAAGTCTCGACATGCTGATTACCCCGAAGCTGCCGTGCTCCAAAACACGCATTGCACATCAACGCACCCTCCAACAGCCCAATTGACATATTTCAGAGGAACAACATTTTTTTCCACATCTTTTCTATGCCTAAAATGTGCTTCTATATGTATTGTAGCCGTGGTGTTGCTTGTTGAGTTGCAATATCACAAAATTGCGCTTTCGGAGACGAATCGGAGCTCATGCAAAAAACATGACAGGATATTCGAAAGACGTACGGGTCGAGCAAACATAGTCAGTCACCGGGTTTGACCGGATTTTGGCGTTCGCAGCCTTGATCAGAGCAGCCATTTCGAAGGATTTGTGTGGGCGACGTCTCGTGGAATTCGGAGATGGAGTGACCTGTCGTTGCGTTGAGGTTGACGGCTGTCCCTCGCACTCAAATTCAACGCGCCGAACGGGAAATCTACGTTGAGGTCACGTGCATCGTCTATCTACATCTTACCTCAACCATTCCCGTTGTGTTACCACAATACCTAAACTCCTAACCCCGAACAAACGTAAGAAACCGCTGTATTCTCTACACTATCTTCTCATTGTTTTTATGTCTGATGTTGGTGTAAGATCTAAATTCTGCCCGGGGTGCAGAATTGTCATCGATACCGAGGCCGTTCCCTATAACTCACCGAAGGTCTGGGACTGAGTCTTCAGGGGGCCAAAAGAGACAAGACATGTATTCAAGGTGCTATAATAAACTAATTAAAAGGATCCCTAAGTTATGCTAAACCTGTCTAAGTATTTTTGTTCCTTAGGATACATGTCCGAGGTCTTCTTCCTATCCCCTGATGAGGGTACTGCTGAAGCATGGGGACCTTCGGAGGTTGTCCGTCTGCAACAAGCAATTATTTCATGGTGAAGGGGTGTGTATTAAAGACGGCAGACGCCACACTACCGAGCCTAGCTCCTAACTTGTGAAGCTCGTGAGAAGCTATCCCGGGGGTTGGAGGCTGTCCCGAGCTCCTCTCCATATGGAGAATATGGAGCACCCGTACCCCAGGCGGATATTGGGGGCTCAGAGCCTCAAAGAAATCTTGTCTCTGTCTACTTATGACGCTGTTCAGTCACCAATTGGCTTCACGAGAACCATTGCTGTCACAGGCAATATGAAGCTAAAGATGGTTCTGATCTAGAAGACTTTCTCACATGTTATGGCTGCTTTTGAACCATGTTCTCGGCTGAACGCCAATTCAAGCTAATTGTTCGACCATCAAACTTTCAATGTGACTACTTATCAAGAATCTTTGATTCCTCAGCTGTTCTCAAATTACAACTGTCGTGAGTGAGATGTTGTTTGTGTTTAGGCCGGAAGTGGAGCCAACGGGCATCCGGAGCCGGTACCGACATCCCGGCCTCTCCCGAGATCCCTTGTCAACGTGATCAATCTTGCGTCGCACTTCATGCCGAGATCCATTCAACATGCTCCGTTCTGCCCTGCGCATATGCAAATTGGCTAACAAGTAGCCGCTTGTGCTTTTGTTGTGTGGAGAGATGTGCCGGGGATGTTAAACCCGAGGTGAGCCGCAAACATGTAAATCATACGCTATTAGTGGATGAAGGAAAATGGTTGTGAATAGGGAATCCTCTGCTTCAATAATATAGGTTCCGTATTCTATAATAAGTTTAGGCAACTAGGCTTAAACTTAAGTTGATTCTTATTATAATAACCCTAAGATCCAACAATATTCGATAGTTCACTTAGGAGTATTCTGATCTTGGCTATATTTCCTTGTAAATGTCTACTGTAAGTCCACGATAGTATCAAGACATGCTCATTTCTGTGTGCATCTGATAAGGTTTTGTGGCAGTTCAGTGGCTGACAGAAAGATCTTCCTAGCAATATTTAAAATCCAGTCTTTAACATCCGAGCTTCAATCTTCTGTGAGTACTTGTTTTCCTAGCAGTCATTCCATGAGGAACTCATGATATCTGTCTTTAGGTTGTGTACACACTTACCCAGCTCAGCTGGCTTGGTCCGGGGTACTGTAGACGAATGTTCACTGTAACATGATAATCACAGTGTCTCCAGTGCCCGAGTTACACCAGAACCTGTAGTTTTGTTATAAAAGGAGAGCATTAGGTAGGCTTATAAATGGGTCGGCTGTTTCGATGCAAACCCAATATTGCCATTATTGCCCGCCGAAACTTCCATACATTGTTATGCGTGACACATATGGCTTGAAGTCTCTGATTTGTGTCCGTTGTGTTACATTCCCTCAGAGACCTTGTAGAGTTCGTGGATTTAGAGGCCTAAGCGTCTGCCAATTAAGCAAGATAACTTCTGACCTTGAGGCAAAGTGCTAAAATACCAACCTACCGGTAGTCTAAGGTCCTCTAAATCTACACTAAGCCTGTACTGAGTCTTTCTGTCACTTAGAATGGACGCCGAAGTTTTCTTGCCTCTCCTAGCATGGATGGTTACCCTGAAGCAAGCTTAATGGCAATCGGTGAGCAACCAAAGTGGTCAGGGTTTTATGACCTGACATGATAGAGTGAGTTTCACCAGACCATAAAAGACTCCCTTTGAACCATTGCTGCAAAGCAGCCAATATGTTTTAATTTTCCCTGACAAACTTGATTCTCACAACTGCTGATATGTGGCTGTTACAGTTCTCCAGCCACAATAGTCGGGAGTGACGGACGTCTGGGATTTCTAGGCAGAAACCGAAGTTAGGCTGATGATTCAGCATCAATGACTCTTTCTTTGCACTAAGACTCTAAGTCACTACGTCCCTGGAATGGACTCAATTTTCTGGCTGCTGAGATTAAAAATGGGCAGATCCAAACCTCCAAAAGAGGTGGTTCCAGTTGGTGACTCATTCTGATTGACTATCAAACCAACCAATGGTCGTCTATGTTTGTCACAGTCGGCTTCGCCACACGGAAACATACAGGGCTCCACCGGTTTTCAACGCCTCCTAAGAATTTATTGCAAACGGCATAATATATCATAAGGTAGATTCCTTTCCTTCGTGCCTTTTCTCCTGCTCCTCTAACTCTCGCTCTCGTGAAGAAGCAGTTGGAAATCATTTCCATTTTCTCCTTGCAAATTCCCCCTTCGCCAGCAAGCTCTTTGTTTGAAGGTCATTGTTTTCCTATCCTTTATTCGTAGTTTGAAGACGCTTTATACTACATAGCGCAATATTTGCAACAACGACGACTTCTCAGCTCACGACTGTGATCTCCGCCATCATGGCCGAGCAAGAGACCAGTCATACCTCTCATCAGGCACGAAATAATGCCCCAAACCGGTCTCAGAATGAGGGCCAGGGCTCAGCATCACGTTCTCGGGGAGGCTCAGGTGGAGGACGCCGTAGGGGAAGGGGAGGACGGAATCGTGGCCAGCGACAGGATGATTCAGCACAAGTTTCTGAAGGCCGCGGAAACGCCCCTCAGACAGGGCCTGCCGACGCCACTATTGCTGCACAAACCATAGCCGCCCCCGAAACCTCAGGGGCTTCTAGAGGCAGAAGAAACCGACGAGGTAATCGAGGTGGTTCTCGAGGGCAAGGAAACCAAGGAAGAGGCGTGTTCTCCATGGGACCGCAGCGCACTTTTGGTGGACGCTTGACTACAACTGAACAACCGACAGAGACTGCTCAAGATGCATCTTTGAGTGCAGACGCCCCAGAATTCGTGCCGGGACAGCCTGTATCCCAGAGGAGGTAGGACCGGTAGCCCCAATGTAATGCATCAGATACTGACAGATATAGTGCCCAACAGCAATCATCAAGCGCCTCTCAGCCCACAGCCCAAGGACGCTCAAGAAACCGTACGAGGAACCGGAAGCAGGACAGACCCCGCCAAGAGTTTCCCAAGTCGACTGCCTCGGAGTTATGGCAACGGATTCAGGAAGACATCGCCAACTGGAACTATGAGTGCCGTATCTGCACCGAAGAGGTTACTCGAAAAACCGAGGTCTGGTCGTGCACTACTTGCTGGACCGTCGTTCATCTTGAATGTGCCCACCAATGGTGGGATACGTCCATGAAAGTCAACGAGGAGAGCGGCGACCGATCATGGCGTTGCCCTGGGTGTAACTCAACGTTGACCGACGAACCAGGCGATAGTTCGTGTTGGTGCGGCAAAGAAACGCAGCCCAGTCGGAACAGTATCTTGCCTCCTCATTCATGTGGGCAAACATGTTCCAAGCCCAGATCGACATGCTCTCACCCATGCACTCTTCAATGTCATCCTGGGCCATGCCCGCCATGCACCGTATTGAGCCCACCGGAGCCCTGTTACTGTGGAAAGCACTCTCAGCGAAAGAACTGTAGGGATACCGATTACTACAACGGGTGGAGTTGTCGAGAGCGTTGCGGCGATTTTCTACCTTGTGGTCAGCATGAATGTTCTCAAATATGCCATCCAGGTGTCTGCGGTACCTGCGAGGTGCCGGTCGAAGTTAAGTGCTATTGTGGACGAGTGCAAAAGGAGATGCAATGTTCCAAACAGGACGACATATGCGATTCGTTCGATCTCGCCAACAATTCCTGGTTTGAGGGCTCTTTTAGCTGCGAGAGTGCTTGCGGAAGAACCTTCGATTGTGGTGTACATCGTTGCCAGATTTCTTGTCACCCGCAAGAAGAGATCTCAGCTCATTGCCCTTTCTCTCCGGACGTTGTCACCCATTGCCCTTGTGGCAAGACACCGCTCAAGGAACTCATGGAACAGCCCCGTCAAACTTGTGAAGATCATGTCCCTCACTGCGAGAGGATTTGTGAGAAGAAGCTGGAATGCGGTCATCTCTGCCAATCCTTGTGCCACACTGGAGAATGCGACCCTTGCACCCAAACGATGGAGATAGACTGCCGCTGTGGCCGAGTCACGGGCGAGACGATCTGCCATGAGGGAAATGTCCAGCAACCCCTATGTTTCAAGATATGCCAGGCTACTCGCAACTGCGGAAGACATCGATGCGGAGAGCATTGTTGCCCGGGTGAAAAGAAGGCATCTCAGCGTATTGCTCAGCAGAAGAAGCAACGCCTGGGCCCTGATTCGCTACCAGTTGAGGCCGAGCATATCTGTGTCGCCGTCTGCGGAAGACCACTTAAGTGTGGTAGTCACTTTTGCGAGCAGCTCTGTCACCGCGGAGCTTGCCAAAGCTGTCCCGAGGCTATCTGGGAAGAAGTTTCGTGCAATTGCGGCCAGACAGTCTTACATCCACCACAACCATGCGGAACGAGACAGCCATCGTGCACTAACCAGTGCCAGCGGCAGACTGCATGTGGACATCCTTCTGTTGACCATCAGTGCCATCCTGATGATGTCTCGTGCCCGCCATGCACATACCTCGTCCAGAAGCGGTGCATCTGTGGAAAGACGACCTTTCACAACAAGCCTTGTCATTTGCAAGAGGCTCATTGCGGAGAGCAATGCGGGCAGAAACTCTCTTGCGGGCTCCATACATGTAAAAAGCTATGTCATCGCCCCGGAGAATGCGGAGACGCTCAGAACGGTTGCGAGCAAATATGCGGAAAGCCCAAGCTGCTATGTAACCACCCATGCCAGAGCGTCTGCCATGGACAAACTCGTAAGTCGATAAAACCCAGTTACAAGCTTGTTACTAACATATGTACCAGCGTGTAAAGAATCAACAGCTTGTCAGGTCAAGATGTCCACCAGCTGTGCATGCGGTAATCACAAGCAGAGTTTCAAATGCCTAGCAAGTACGAGCAATCCTACTCCGAGCCGACCAGAGATTCGATGTGATGAGGAGTGCGAACGCCTTGACCGTAACCGTCGCCTGGCCGCAGCTCTCAATATCGACCCTGCTTCTCACACCAACGACCATATTCCCTTCTCGGATAATACTCTGAAGCTCTATAAACAGATGCAATCATGGGGAGATGCTCAGGAGAGCCAATTCCGAGTCTTTGCTGCTAACAAAGACGAAGTTCGTTTACGATATGAGCCGATGAAGAACCAGTCACGCCAATTTCTTCACTTGCTCGCTGAAGACTTCGGTTTCGAGAGTAAGAGTGAGGACTACGACATTCACCGGTCTATTCTAGTGTGGAAATCAGATAAGTTTGTTTCAGCCCCGACGAAGACACTTGCGCAGTGTGTCAAGATCCGAGCATCTCAAGCTGCCGAAGCTGCGGCAGCGGCAGCCATTCGACCTCCAAGCCCCCCAATTCTCGAGACTGAGCCTTTCAATGCTCTGGTACTTACCGAGCCTCGCTTCGGTCTGACCATCGAGGAAGTCAATACTGCCCTTGAACCGGATCTCACGTCCCTGCAAGGCTTCAGTTTCAAGGTTGATTTTCTGAACGAGGAAGTTCTCATCAAAGCTACAGTCTCATATTCCGCGTTTCTCACACCCGCACCCATGGAAAAGAGCCTAGAGATTCTCAAACCTCGGATCGAGCAGACCATCCGCCGCGAAAAGCTCGCTGAAAGCGTCTTGCTCTGTCACTCAGATGCTAACGGTGCAATTTCTCGGCGAGAGGTACCCCTCCGCGCCAGTACTGGAGGATGGAGTGCCGTAGCTGGACGCGCGGCTTCTAAGCCAATGTCCTCGTCTTCTACTCCTGCACCCGAAGAGGCAAAGCCCGGACGCAAACTGCTTCTAGGACTCAAGAAGAAGAGGCCGCAGCAGCCGGAGGCGGGAAAGGTGTGGGCCGCTCTTGATGGGGACGTTGAATGCTAGAAGCATCAGTGAGGGTGCGTGTAAGGGCAGACAGGAAGGGCGTCCGGGTTCACTTGTCGAAGTTAATCGCGGAGCACAAACAATTCTATGACCTTTCCAGTCCATGGCTGAGAACAAACCTGGTGTCAGAGCCACCAAGTCACAAGCTTATTTTCGAGCAAGACAGCCCTCACGTTGTCAGAAGACGCAAGACTCTAGAATTAGATAGTAAGAATAAACTAGTTCAAGTGTCTACTGAGATTATCTTAAACTATCCTACACTATCCTAAACTATCCTAAATATCTATCACTCAGGATTAAAGTCTTAAGCTTTCTGCTATCCTCTAGCAGGATGAAGAAGTCAGATGCAACGTGAAGAATTATTATAGTTTGCCATGGCGATTAGAGAGAAGCTATCCTAGAAACCGAACTGACCTTTGAAACAATCTTTAGAGGGGGCATGTGGATGGTTGAGTTAAATCACATCTTCTACCATTTTGTTACGTGTGACACTATTGTTAGCAAGACAGCCACATCATGCACAAGATGACTCTTATTACTTTTCAAGTTCTTGATACGAGAGAATCGACTACAACGCGACGGCATACCTATGGACCTGGTGGTTGATTAATGCCAACACAGTAATTTAGATGTGTGCATTTCCTAAAGAGGAAACCTTTACTCACATGGTAAAGAACGCGGGGAGTACTTACCGAAGACCGAAATGCTAGCGCCTCAGCTTAACCTTGTCCCGACCGAGGTTCGTTTTGCTTAAACTCCAACCGCCAATTTATTTAATCATCTTCCTTATCTTCGCCAATTCGTGTTTCCGGTCTCTACTAATCCTCGACTTTGGTCTTCATTCGTTTCGCCTTCATACTGCCCAAATAATCAGACCACGTTCGATCCTCCCATTCGTAACACCCCGTGCATGCGCATGCGCGCTCTCTTTTGCCGATCACAAAACATCATGTCCTCTTCTTCAGCATCGTCATCACCATATCCCTTTGCCACCGCCCCCGACATCATCCGCTCTCACCAAAAGGATGCATACTTCACCGGCCACCTTACACAGATCCTCAGCGACCTGCATCGTCGCCTTCGCGGTGCCCGTCTCACACACGCCCGCGCACCCGAGATCCAGACCCTCGGAACACTCGCCTACTTTGCTCTCACTACAATCCCCGGCAATCGAACTCTCGGCGAGGAGTACTGCGATCTTGTGCAGATAGATGCGCGTGATGGTCAACTTCCCGCTATTGGTCGTCGCGCAGGCTACGTAGCTGCCAGCATTCTCCTCCCCTATATCGCGGCCCGGATTCTCCCCGGACTACGCGCTCGGCTGCGCAAGCTTCTGCAACGCCGGTTGGAGAGCCTTCGCAAACGAGATGACGGTTCGGCAACAGGACGCGAGGCGCGCATATGGTCATATCTAGACCAACACCTGGGTTCTTTCACATCAGGCGCTCCTTTCAAGGCCGTTATTCTAGCCCTTTTCTACTTCAGTGGTACCTATTACCAGCTGTCCAAGAGACTTCTTTCCCTGCGATACGTATTCACACGTACCGTACCCGATACACCCGATCGTGCAGGATACGAACTCCTAGGTGTACTGCTGGTCATTCAACTTGCGGTTCAGGGCTATACCCATATTCGATCTACAATTACCGAGTCAGCAGCTCGCGAACGCGCTGCCTTTGGGGCTTCTGATGATATCTCTCTAAACCATGACGGGGCCTACAACGGCGATAACAATCTATTACTATCCACAGGTGCTTCAAGCTCCAAGGCCAAGGTCGACATCTTCGCTGCCACACACACCCCAGCAGCAGCTGTGCCGCGTGTTCAATTAACAGATGACAAGGCCATGGGCTACATCAAGGGCGGACAACAAAGAAAGTGTACACTGTGCTTGGAGGAGATGAGAGATCCCTCAGCAACACAATGCGGTCATGTCTTCTGTTGGGAGTGTATCGGAGATTGGGTGAGAGAAAAGCCCGAATGCCCATTATGTCGTCGTGAAGCCATGGCTCAACATATTTTACCACTGCGTGTGATGTAATAACTTATTTAGATTTGATTTGCAAAGATATCCAATTCAGATGAACAAATATTAATATGCTCAATCACATCCTCGATGCGAGATGTTAAAAACAAAACAAAGAGATACCGAGGCTCAGCGCCCATGGGTATCATCAGAGCAGGCTCATGCCGCTATAAAAAAACGCTCCAATCCTTTCATGGTATCCATTCCAGCCCATTCCAGTCCGTCCGATGCACCAGCCGCCCATTATCTGCCATTCGGTTTCCCAAAGCATAGTCTTGAGAAAGAATAAATCTCGACACCAAGAAAAATGGTCCATCCTTGCATCCAGCGAGAGATGTCCGTCCGTTCCCTTGTATACATACTATACACAATTACTGATGGAGATCCAGGGGCCCCAATACTCGCAACCGCCAGATACACACCTGACGAGCCAGCTGAACCCCTCCGATCCCACCTGTTCCCGAAAACTTGTACACAAAATAAAAGCTTGTCCATAAAGGTATCGTGGAAAAAACGTTGGTTCAATGCATCATCCTCATAAACTCCTTTAATCCCATATCCGGTGTCTGTCCGATTTTCGGCATGATCTTCCAATGCTGTTCTTTTTGTTACTTTTATTTGGTTTTTTTGTTGTTTGGATTTCAAGTTGGATTCTCACTCAACAGAGAACAAGACGATCTCTCCTTGTTCATTCTGTCGAAGTCGGAGGGATCTCCAGAGTTCTTTCTCTTCCTTGCCCTTACCCAGCTCGCTGCCAGTAGCCTCACGTTCTCGGTGGAAACGCTTGAGAACCCTGTTTAAGCTGACGCCCTTCTCACTCTCAGGACCCTTGTCGACGAAGCTGAGGAAGACATCGGCTCGAGGCTTGTAGAGGACGACTTGTCCAGCGCTGGGGTCTGTTTTGCCATCTTTGCTCTGAGGGCGATACTCGATGAGCTGCTGAGGCTTCTTCTCTTTATGGGACTTCTTGGAAGAGGAAGAGCTCTTCTTGGTTTTGTTTGATGACTTGGTCTTCGTCTTGGACTTGGACTTGGGCTTGCTGCCAGCAATCATGCCAAAGAGGCTGTGACCAGCAGAGGCGTGCTTAGAGTGCTTAGAATGTTTGGAGTGCTTTGACTTCTTCAAAGGACTCGCGGGAGAGATTTCCGGAGCGTCACCGCCGGAGTAATCGGGGGATGGGGGGAATACAGGGCGCATCATACGGTTGATGCCGCCTGTGAGTCCTGAGTGAAGAACCGGTGGGGCATCCGTCATAACCTGGTCGCTAGGAACATCGATATGTAATCGCTTGCGCTTCTTGTCCTTCTTCTCAGTGCTGGTCCGGCTTTTACGTCTCTCAGATTTCGAAGCGGGTGTAACAAATTCGGCGGCTGGCACGGGGCCACTTCCATATTCGACTGCAGGTTCTTCGTCGTCATCCATGAAGCCGTATTCGTCGCTCTTGTCCTTGGGTTCGTATGGTACCAATGAGTTGCCTGGCTCCGCGTCGAGATTCATGTTGGAAGCATTGGGCGTTTGGCCGGTTCCAACGAGGAATTCAAATACATCGACATGTGGCTCCGGGGCAGCAGAAGGAGGCGTAGGAGCCTCCGGGGGCGGGCCGTTTGGCGATTCATCATCGCTGCTTTCTTCGTACTCGGCCCAGCCGAACTGATCCTCAGGGACGTCCTCAACGTAGGCGTAGTGGCTCATGTTGCCAGTGTTGTTGGGGAGAGTTTGAACTTCAGCCATGGCTTGGTCCTGGGTGTAGTGTTGCTGGTTATCGTTGGGGTGACTGTGTTTCTGTTTCTTGTTCTTCTTGTCCTTATAGAGTGCACCTTGGTACTTCTGATCTTCGGTCATGCAACTCTATGTGATGTCAGATGATTACACAAGATCAGGGGGTTAATGGCTGCCGGACAGCCTTGTGGTACATACGGTATGTGATCGGTATTGGACGCCAGGGAAATACACCATACAATCAATGCAGGTGAAGGTAGCGCCGCGACAGCGGTTGCGATGAGGGTCAAGCTTCTTCTTGGTGAGAACGTCGCCGCAGGCCTGTACGTAGTATGTAAGTTAGTATAACAAAGGACGGAGCTGATATAAACTACGGCATGAAGGGTATAAGTGGGATGCAAGACAATGGAGACTCGTTCGATGCGGCGGGGTGGTGTACTGGGATATTTGAGGAATACAAGGGGAGGCGAGAGCATGGCAAGACGGTTGTGGTGGGCCAGGAGATCGGCATGGGGAAGAAGGGGTGTCCCTTGAAGGAGGCAGTTCGTGACAAGAATGGTGTGGTGGGAGTGATGTCAGGCGTGTATGAGGTTTGTTTAGGGGGGTGGGCATTGGTATTGGCATTGGGGCTGGCATTGACGGGAGTGAAGGGGCATTTGTTTGAGATATGGAAACGGAGGGGGATAGGATATGAATATGGCTTGAGCGGCGGAAGTCTTTGGATAGCAGCATAACTATCCATGGGAATGGATAAGAAATCGAGACTTGGCGGATTGGAGTGCAAACAATGCAGAGAATGCACTTCACAGAATAACGTACCTCACATGAAAAGGAAACCATGGCTGCTCAGAAGACACTCGAGTGTCAATGGTTAATAAGTTGGGTTTCGCTGTGCAGAGAAGAGAAGTAAACCTGCACAACGGTGCAGTTCTGAGAGACGGTCGGTATTTAACGGGAGACAACGCAGATTCAACGTCCTGAAGAGACTGCAGAACTGCTGGCTTCCAAGAAGCAGAGTGGAGGGGCGCAAGGGCCAGGGGACGAAATGATTCGGCCGAGGGATGGTTTTGAGGCACTCAAAGCAAAAATAAAATCGGGGGCAGTGCTTTTTTCAGAGCTCTGTATGGTCTGGACGAGGTTGCTGATATGACAGGCGCAAAAGACTAGCTGGCCTAAGGTTGCGTTGGGTGTTGCTTGGGCACGACTTGGGCAGCATAAGCTCAACAAGCGATTAGAAGCAATAAAAACGAGGCGAAATCAAGCAAGAGTCAGTTGCGAGCCCGAGGAATGCGTTGCGCCGACCAAGTGAAAAGGCGGAAAACAAAGTTGGATGTTGACGATAGCACGAGATTGATGGAGGGGCGGGCGGGACAAAGCAGATAGCCCAGCACCAGCAGACGAGATTGAGTGCAGTCAGGTGGAGGGGTCCTTCGAGACCAGGGTCCGTCAAGCCTGAGTCTGAGTCTAAGACTGAGCCTCCGAAGAGCACGGTTCTTGCGACGGGTTCCAGCTCCTGAGGATCACGTAGCGTAGCGTAGCGTGATGATGGAGGCGCGGGTAGTGGGCGGGGAAGGTGGCGTGTGATCCCAAAGAATTAAATTAGGAGTGCTCCAAAAGCGAGATGGAGGGATGAATATCAGTAGAGCGAAAGTCTCTTTGAAAATGACAAGAATGAACTGCACGCGCGCGCTGGCGAAAAGAGTGGGATGTTGTGGAAGAAAAAAAAAATAGACGAGAAAAGGACGGCGTTTCATTGATTAGAGTGGATGCTACAGATGGAACTTTAGCACGAACCCGCTGTAACGAACGCCCTGAAAGAGGGCAACCACAGCAACAACTGCAACTGACAGGAACAGGAATAGTGACAATAAAACACGAGATAACGACCCGACAGGAAGCATCGGATCCAATGCAGAGCATCTCACGCCATAGGAAGTTTGGGGGGCTTGTTACCTGAACACCCAAGCAACCATCATAATCACCATCAACAATCAACAGCCAACTCCAGCAAGGAAACGCTCAAAATAGTTCAGAACCAGTTCAGTTCAGCCCAACCAAAGCAAGCCTCCAGCATCCTGACTGTCTCAGCCTATCAGTGCGTGTGTGAGCCCGCTGCTGTAGCGACACCTGCAACAAAATGATTGGATGCTCATTCATTATTAGTAGAAACCCTGATATTGGGTGCTCATGATGATGACGATGATGCACACCTCAGAACCAACCCTGGAAGCTCTGAAGCCGCTCGCCCTGGATGGGTCTGTTGCTCATCACAACGCTAGTCCAGCCCAGCATTCCTTCAAATCTTTGCTTACCATTGGCTGAGATATTAACCCAGACAGGGGCACTTATCAATGCAATGCCGCCCAGCAGGATAGGTTGGGTCTTGATTGGAGACTCTTCGCGCCTGTCAAATGTTCCTCGTCTATCACTTGTAAGAGAGAGTTGAGATGGTGTCAGGAGTTTGCACCAGGAGTGTCAGAGTTGAAAGGCACAGCATGTTCCCCTTGCCTAGGGTTCGTGGCGCGCTTATTTCATAACGTGTGTGCACTCGTTTCAAAAGGGGCTTGACGCTTGTTCAATTTGATGTTGACGATCATCAACAACGTAGCAATGCGCCATCGAGATGCATGTTTCGCGGCTCGATAGTGTGTGCGTACCTGAGCTGTGGATGGACGGCTTTTCTTGCATACTTTCTTGGCGTGCCATGTCAAACGCCCTGATTTGGCTGTAACATGCTCAAGAGGTGCCATGCGCATAATAAGGAAAAGAAGGGGCCTCAAAGCGGCAGCGCTCCAATGGATTCCTGAACAAAAAAGGGACTCAGCACTTCACACCAGGGTTCTTCACCCACTTTGAGTAGCTTCTACGACATCAACCTGTTCAACTGCGGGGCAGATAGAGACAAAGACGAGGGGAGGGAAAGAATATGATATTTCTGCCTTTTGATAAGAGTTATGCGCTGTTCAGGTTGCTTTCCAGTCCACCGTCGACGGACGCCAGCCTCTGGTAACATGGCTCACAGCTACCGGTCCATGCTCGTAGTCTGCATGAGAGTAATCCAATGACCGTGAGATACGTGCTCAGCACAGAACTGCTTGCTTCTTGCTTCGACGCCCCCAAGAAGAATACAAATTTTCATGTTAGTGTGCAATGACAAAACTAGGCTCAGGGCCGTAGATGCCGTGGCCCCTTGCATAAAACTCTCCTCCTGGCTGGCATGTTTGTTTGTATTATTGATCGTTCGCCTATGAACTATCCCGCCATGCCCACGAGTTTATCATGCCGCTACCCGTCATCTGGCTACAGCAACTTTTACCCCACCTAGCAAGATACAGCACGACAAGATAGCTGCCAGGTACAGGCGGGGGCTTGGTTTGTCTATGTCATAAAACGAGATTGACTGTCCCTCCAGTTCAACCTCGCTCGCCTCATGTTCATCTTGGGTGGGTTCAGCAAAATGCGCCTTTATTTCAAGAGTGTCTCGTGGTCTGATTAGCTTACCAAGCTATGCCTCTAATTGTCTAGCTGATGGCACAAAGAGGCTAAACCACCGCGACGGTGGGCGTAGAAGGCCAAGATGAGGCTTGTCTCAGGGATATCCCTGATCAGCATAACTGCTGCAGCCCACAAGCAAAGTATCATACGAAGCTGAGGAATGGAGACCCAGCCAGGCTACGGGAAGAGCATCTGAAAAACATCAAAGGGCCGAGACGAAAGGGACAATTTCTATAAATTTCCTTATCCGCATTCCTCAGTTTTATCTCGAGGAACAAGGATAATTGTTCGAAAGACAATGTCCTAGACACTCGTGGACGGGCTGGAAGGCCGTCGCAGAGGATGCGAGATATTGTTTCATCAACCAAGAAAAGCAACTTTCTTCTGCCACAATTTGATAGCCAGTCACACATCACATCACATCACATCGCCGAAGCTAGGGAGATGCTTCCCAGCGTCTCGGACCTGGCTACTGGATGGGCTTATGCAGGCCATAGATACGGTCGATCGTTAGCCAGGAACCAGATTGTGATAATGTCCGTGGCTCTGGTATCACATTTGTGAAGTACCAAGCTGTCAGTTCATCTTGACTCTTCAACATGCATTTGGTTGTACAGCACAAGCTTCCCTGATTCAGCAACCTTGGGGATCCCTGAACGAGCTATTCTGTGGTACGGGTGGTATGTCAAGATCTTCCCGGATCAACAACTGGCGAGATTGAAGCCCGCTCTTTATTGTTTGTTAACATGATGTTGTTGGTCCGTGACATACCTAAGCTACAGGATGGATGTGTTCGTAAGCAAACTTAAGGACCTCGATCCTAAATGACAGAAATACTCAGACAAGTTTAAGACCATTTAGGATAAACTTAGGATATTCTTTGATTGGTTATTTTCGCACCCTCATCAAAGGTCTTAGAAGCTCTTTCGTTTCTTCCTGCAAGCTTCCTAGCGTAGTTAAGTCGATTACGTTGAGCTCATTTCCACCGTCATGTCCGTACCCCTGGTTGTTTGTCATGTGGTTTATCTTTAACGAGAACAACAGAAGGCTGTGATGATAAAACCGTTTGACAGCTGACTAAAACTCATTTATCTTTCCATGCACCTGCGTGATGGCATATAACTATGGCGCCCCCTTGATCTCCTTGTCTCTGTTGATCTGTCCGTTTCGTCGCGTGTATCAGTTTCATTGGTGAGAGTAAGCCAGGAGGCTTCGGGTACCTGAAAGTGGCCCGCGGCAGAGGTACAGCCTCCGCTAAATTAGCGTTGACCGTTACCTGTGCTGCGCCCATGAGAGGAGTATCTTCATTTACCTTTCTCTCCACCTCCTCATCGAGCTGAGATCACTCCGTGCCCCACCATCGACTATTATACATGGAATATCCATCTCACCTCCAGAGTCCCGAAGTTATCGATATTGGCTAGATTGGTTCCTGTCTAGACATGGATAATGACTTCTAGGCAGATCTATTGTTGAGGTGCTAAGTACAACTGTTGCTGGATTCAAAGCCTGAGGATTCGGCCCAGTCAATCGCTTTCTTAACGTACCTTGATCTTCATTTCTTCTAGAATTTTGGCTTCGCTTCTTTTTCTCCTCATGACACCTTCTTAACCCTACCTCGACCAATATCAAATACCACTCCTTATTAGACTTTTGTTCCCTTGGGTATTTTTGGGGCACTTGTACATCGTTCTACCATACTTCAGCATCGTCCCATTCTATTTGTGCTTCCACGTCTCTTGCCAACCTCGGTATCATTCCAAAGAAGGTCTTTCGACCCATGTCATCCTCGTGCGTGGTACTTCCATAAGTGGGATCGCCGCCGAAGACAGCCCTCAAGGAGCAAGAAAACCTCTGGCCTTAGATCAAGGTGTCTAAAATAACTTGTCTAGAGGTCCGCCAAGTATATGCTAAGCTTGCCTAATTCTTTTTGTCACTCAAAGGTACTAGGAAAGTGGTCCTAGGTTTTCTTGCTTCGCCTGGACAGTCGCCAGGGGCAGCTTCAACAAATTCAATTCAGCTTGTTGCTTTTATCGAAGAGGCACACGCAATATTTACCTGTTACCCGCTTCCTCTACAGTGATTAGGTATTGGTCTAGTTTGGCAACTCTTGTCACCTCTTCCTTCCTGCCCTTACCCCCCCTCAGCAAACCTCGAGCCGTATTTCCAATATCTTAGTGCATAACGCCTCGATAAACTCAACATCTATCGTCAGACAGGTTCAATTACCCAGTACTTTTTCTTGGGGCAGTCACCGTCTTTTCGACCCTCGCAGTTCGCGACCGCCTACGATCTATACGAACCGATACCATATACCCCTTGTTGCAGTCTCCAGTCTCGGTCTCCGCCGTCAATCACTGTCGGGGGTTCCATCTCCCCATACAGTCCAACTCAGTCTGGGTTGATAGGTAGACAGACATATACGGTCTACCTTCACTGCACTGCATCTGCATCTGCATTTGCAGCCATATTGTTGTAATGCCCAGCAAACCGACCAAAGCAACCATGTCCAGCTCCAACTCTCCCACATCCCAAACCTCCAACAGCTACGTCGAGCAGACCGTCTCGGTATTGAGCTCGGTCGCCAGCTACATGCGTTTGCCCGCGTTGGCTTCAACGGTACGTCCACTATACTGCAGCTTGGCTGACAAAATAGTCTTGACTGCAGCCATCCGTAACTACCTAGGGACTATTCTAACGTCAATGCGCATACAATAGGGTCTCGCCGCTGTCCTCACCTCATTACTTTACTTTAAACAGAAGTCCGTATCCCAACTCCATCACCATCACCGCCTCCGTCTCCCCTTCCTAGCTACTACCAACCTCCTCTTTCTTTGCCTGACCCGCATCATCATCAAGCCGGGCCCCGCTAACCCTGCATGCATTAGGGCTCTCATTTACCCGAGTAACATTCCCGCAAATTCTCGCTCAGACGTCCCCAAGCCTTCAGACTTTGGCATCTCAAATTTCGAAGAACTTTACATCCCGACCGATGATGGCGAGAAGCTCTCAGCCTTCTACATCCGTGGCCCTCGTGGCCACAAGAACTCAAACATCACCATCTTGATGTTCCATGGCAATGCTGGCAACATCGGCCATCGGTTACCCATCGCTCGAATGATCATAAACTACATTGGTTGCAACGTTTTTATGCTCGAGTATAGAGGCTATGGTTCCTCAACAGGTCAGCCTGATGAGTCGGGTCTCAATGTTGACGCCCAGACAGGGCTCAACTATCTGCGGCAGCGGGCCGAGACACGCGATCACAAGCTCATGGTTTACGGTCAGAGTCTGGGCGGTGCCGTCGCTATCAAGCTTGTCTCCAAGAACCAGGAAGCGGGTGATATCGCTGGTCTGATCTTAGAGAACACCTTCCTCTCCATCCGGAAGCTGATCCCTTCCGTTGTGCCCCCTGCCAAATACCTTACCCTGCTATGCCACCAAGTCTGGCCCAGTGAGTCGGTTCTTCCCAATATCACAAAGGTGCCCACGCTCTTCATCAGTGGCTTGCAGGATGAGATTGTTCCGTAAGTTCCTCTACACCCTCTCTCACACTACTACCCCGGGTCCTGTGATGATTAAATTTGCATCACCCACAAAAGTTGAAGTACCCTCGTGGTCTTGATATGAAAGCAAATACTCCCTGATGATCGACATTACATTCTTCCACTGCAGCATAGCGCAACACAGAACACGAAGCTAATGTATTTCAGGCCAAAACACATGAAACAGCTGTATGACCTCTCCGCCGCACCCACCAAGCGGTGGAAGCCTCTCCCAGGTGGCGACCATAATTCAAGTGTCCTGGAAGAAGGCTATTTTGAAGCCATGTCAGATTTCATCGCTGAGGTAACGGGTGATACACCACAAGAGAAGACACGTTTGTAGAGACTGGGTATATCTCGTTTAATATTCCATTATGCATGCATAGCCTTGGTGAAGGAAGGAAAACGTACGGACAGCATACAGCATCACACTCACGATTTACGACACCTCCTTTTTGTATTACCACACCTCTGCGTATACTTTCTTTGCTAGTCCATATTTACATACACGCTCAACGCTCGCAAATAGTGGATTCGCAATCCCCGAACTAGAAAAGAAACTTGGCATTGATGCGACATTGATAAGCTATTTTGAGTTTGTTTGCTTGTGCTTGTGGTGGCCTTGGTGGGGGCATCTTGAGCCTCGTGATCCCTCCTAACTTGATGTTCGCGTGATACGAAAAAATAAATAGTTGGTGTTACATCAATGTCTTATATGCAAGCCTTTGGGCGCAAGAAAACTTCTGCCATTTGATAAGGGCGATAGAGAATTAAGGTGAATGGTCTAAAAATCTACTAAGTATATACTTTACTTACTAAGTCTATCTTGAAACTGTCTAAGTCTTTTTGTCACTTAGAGATTGGTGCACTCTGCATCTGCGGCATGGGAGGTTGTTCCGAAACCAAGCGAGCGTGATGAAGAATGCTACGAGAATCATGGAGGATCTGCGAGTACATTTCGAGGGCGATCAGATGGAGGGTGCTGGGCAGGATAGTGCTGAGAACCACAGTCCTCAGACGAGAGTTGCTGAGGGGAAAGGTATTGATGTTAAGATGACTGATGCTGAGGTGGACGAGGCCCGGTACATGAGCCAAGCCGAATAGGTAGAATGTCGTCGATACTCTTCTCGGTTTGTAGGGATGTTCCAAACTGCTCTCCTGCTAATGCTTGCTCTGCTTCAACCTCCTCCACAGCCAGTTTCATCGTATTGATAGCTATGTTGCAGACATGAGAGAAAGCATCCTTTCCACTGATAGTTACCTAACTATCATCACGACGGATGCCAGCTTGGGTTATCGTTTTATGCAGGCGTCTGATTCTCTCGACTAGTTTTGGTGAATCATCCTCCGGTCTCTCGTGTAAGCTGGAGCAAGTCTGAACAACGAAAACTTCGCCACATCACCGCAGGAGTGCCATGGCCGTCCAATGCAGCATGCTTGAGTCCGTTGATCTCCCTTTGTCGCAAAGTAGAGTTGGCTAGCAGGTGACAAATCCTTCCATGAAATGCCATTGATTCCTGCTACGTTAGCTTGTCCTCGATGACGCCAACAACGACTGCAAGTTGACTTGACTGGAGGAGGCAATAAGACTTAGGATATTGATCCTAAAATGATAAAAATGCTTAGGTAAATTATCATAAGCTTAGGGTGCTCTTTGATGAGTTTATTTTGGCATCCCTTATTAAGGTCTGAAGTTTTCTTGCTCCCTGGGGCTTGATTTTGTCTCTGAATCCGATCACTTGAAATTGCTGTCGCTGAACATAATCAAATTGGATTGCCGATAAACCTGGATAAATTGTGATTTCGTAGTCGGGCAGTGGGTTCGCCTCTTCGTCTTGGTCAGAGATGATCCTGCATCATACACATAATGTCCTCTCCTTTAACCAAGTTTCTATATGTTCAAGTCCTTGGTCAGCCGAGTTAACGACGGCTGTGCCATCGCCGCCATTCTCGCGGGTGGTGACCAATTCCTGGAGCGCTCCAGGTGCCTTTACCCCAATGACCAAGAGGGCGTTTGTGGCAGTTGTTGATGGGATCGTGCTTGGGCCTAGCTGCTCGGCGGCTTTCATGGCCTTCGCGACCTGTTCTGATCTTGTTTGCCCATGCATTGGCTTCTGAAGATTCTCGCAGGTTGTAGAGAGCTCAGCTAATACTTGCTCGTATTCTTGGCGACAATAGTTAGTTTATTTCCACTTATTTGCAGATTTAGAATTAATAATTAAACAAACCTTTCTGGCCGATCGACTTGACTTGACATGCTGTTATGCATGTGTCTTGGACGACGCAAAGGAATAAACAGAGAGTGTTAAATAAAGACAGCTGAAATATAACGAAAATGACCGAGGTAGGCCGTGCACATGACCGCAGTAGATTTGCTGTTCGGCGGGTTGAACTTGAGTGCAATCTGAGTGAAGCTATCCGCGGCGGTGGTCATTTGAGATATGGAGAATGTAAGATGCAAATTGGAGGATAATTGGCGGAGGGACCATTCTTAGGACCGCTATCCTAAGGGGTGAAAAGATTTAGGCAAGCTTAGTATAGCTTAGTGAATCCTTAGACTACCTATCTACCTAAGTAGTTGTTTTTGGCAGTGTTATTGAATTGGATGTTGGAGGTTTTTTGCTCTTCCGGACCTCAAGAAGAAGAGCAAGTTACTGGAAATCCCTACAGACTCCTATTGGGTATTGGATATCTCGGTAGGTCTACAACTCCATTGCTGTATGTTGCGAAGCTATTCCAAAGCCGCGTAGAAAGAATGCTAATCTATCTGGGGAGCTTAGGACTTCCTTTCTTTTGAAACCTCCTATTCTTCCACTGTTACACTTTTCTTCCTCTCCTATTACACCGCCCCTCTTCCTCCTCTTTCTTGCCCTTTGAATGACAGCGCATTGTATCCTTCACGTTGAAACATTTGCAAATAGTTCCCATCATTATGTTTTGTGCCAGCGAGCTCTCCTTCTCGAAACCGCCATGCATAGCACCGGACTGTGCTCTTAAGTTCTCGCTTATTTGATATTTGTCAGACGTTCTTCTCAATCTTACTATGTACTTTCAACTCTGAAGAGGTTGTTAGGATTCAACTTTAAATGGGTAAGGTATTGATAATACATCATTAGATGAACAATACCCATTTACCCACATACATAGATAGTGAGGCCAAAGGCTGCACAATCAGGATAACACAATAATGTCATTTTTAGACACAACACAACAGCATCAGTAATATAGCCAGACACCTCTATCATAGGCTCGCATTAAATCAGAGGTCAGTGTAAACTTTTGCTGCTTTGATGATGTAATTGCTGCCTCAAATACCAGCCTTAGCAGCGAGGTTTTTCAACTTCTCCCCCTACCTTTTTTCTTTTATATTATGCTTTATTCAACCACGCACTTCTCCAGTACGTTATTCAAAATGCCTCCTGATCACTTTTGCTAACATAGGTCATAGTCACCGTCTCGATGTCGGTACGCAACAGCCTGCAGCCCGACGAAGGAGTCTCGGTTGGAACGTGGATATTCCTAGTGGTCGACGAAAAGCTCTACTCGACACGATCTTTGGAGCATCAACGGTCGCAAGACCCAAGTCGATTCTAAGCCTCCCCGCAGTCTTCCACTACCCTTAAAGGTTCCTTCAATGCATCCAGAATATCCGTGATGAAAATCTTCAAATGGACCGATCGGGGCACCTCATCAAACAAGCTGTTGCACAAGACAAGCCTTGTTTAAGCAACATCGGGATCTCCCTACTACGCCGAACACAAGCCGAGGCAGCAAGCCCGTTGCTACATGCGACTAGGAGGCTTTTCGAGCGACTCCCGTTTGATCAAACCCAACACCCCAGAGAGGATGAAGAGATCCAGGAGGCCCTACAAGACTGGGATGCCGAATAGGGCGAGGATGGCTTCAATCCTGACGTCGAAGGGTTGTCTGACGAGCCCTGCCAGGCCAAAACTCGCAAAAGGAAGCGCTCGCGTAACCCTCCTACACCCAGTGCTGGCTCTCGTCAGACGCCGAGATGGAGGAGATATTTGGCTGCCCAAATTTCATGGAGAAATGGTTTCCCTTCTTGAAGGCAGAGGATACCCCGATATTTTTCCCTCGGGTAGAGGCCATCCTTGCAAAGGTGAAGGATGTTCGCGAGTTATGGCCAGGCGAAAAGATCCTTATCGTTTCCGAGTTTGTGCTCCTCCTTGACATCATCAAGGAAGGCATCCAGCGGCGCAGTAAGACAGATGCCAAGTTCAAGTTCCCTCTCACCGAGTATAATGGCACCGTGAACTTGGAAAACCGTGCTCGGGCCTAGTCCAGCTTTAACCTACCCACTGGTGGACCAGAAGTGCTTCTACTTATTGCAGGAGCTGGTGGTTCTGGCCTCAACCTTGCCAGGGCCACGCATATCATTATCACCGAGCCTTTTTGGACACCTGGTCCACTACAACAGGTCATCGGGCGAGCTCACAGGTTTTCTCACGAGAATACTGTCCATGTTTGGCACATGATAGCCCACCCATCATAAATTTACCAGTTCATTCTGGATAGGCAGGCAAGAAAGGTCCATTTTGTGCAAGGACTCATGTCTATCATCACTGGACAAGACACAGAGGCCTCTAACGAGAAAGCGTTGCCAGCTCATACAATCCGCCAATGAGATGAGGGAGATGCCAATTCTGAAGATTTTACTCCGTAGCTCGATTGATGACTAGGATGAGAATAGCTGCCGTTGGAGGAGTGGACTTTTAGAGTCAAGTTAGATGAGCTTTAGGATTTATTCACCAAGCTTAGCCTAAACTTATGCCTCTATTCTAATATATTCATAAGTTTTACCTAAATCTTTGTACAGTTAAGATGAAATTGATTGGAAATAAGGGAAAGGACTGGGCGTTACTGTTGAAGAATTTCATATACAATACTGGCTTTGCAGCTGTTACATCTTGCTCTACCTCTAAATATTTACAACTCATCCCTATTGTGGCCCTAGGGGCGGTTGGTTGAAGTCAAACGGCGCCATCACGCCTTGTTCTGAACCTTGAAGCTGCATACTCAAAAACTCGTCCGTCACAAGTGTACCTAACTCCTCGCCCCATTGAGCCATGAGCTCAGCTGTAACGTTGTGACCCAGCTCTAGGCCGTTCATGAGATCTGGCCCAATGAGAGGATCTTCCGGGGGCATCACAACCTGTGCATTGCGTGCCCTTACGACATAATCTTTGATCTCACCCATGCATGGCCAGGTGTGCTGTACTTCCTCCATTGCGTCAATGACAGTCGAAAGTGATCGTGCAATGTCTGAGTCTTCCCACGAGGCTCCCTGAAAGAACCTCTTCATCATGATGGTGCCAGCTGCCGTGGATAGAGTCTGAACAAAGTCCAGTGGCAATGAGCGGAATCGATAGTGTCGTGAATATGTTCTCATCAGGCGCAGAATAGCCTGCAACGACTCGTAGCAGATCTCCACGTCTTCACTTTCGGCAATACCTTGTTTCTCGTACATATGCGAAGGCGGCCGATGAAGAATAATCATGATTGTATGGAACAGCATGCTGTGACATGTCAGTATACAAAGATGACGCGGCTTGGAGGGCAACTCACTGCATACGAAGCACAGAGGGTTGCACGACGCCTACAGTCCATTGGTTCCAGTGCAGAGTACCGGGAAGACTCGATAGCCACTTTGTGAGCGACACGTGTATTTGTCGTGACCTGGCTGCAGCTACGGTGGCGTCGACGTTACCTCGACGATTCTCAAAGAGATCCGTGATCATGAGATGGGCGATCTTGCACAGCTCTGCTTGGTAGATGAAGGACCCAACAAGGGCAACTCCGTCTTCGAATTCTGTTGCTGAAGCACCTTTACAGATGTACGTGTCCAGCAAACCCTCCCAGTCTGGAGGGTACTGCAATCTGATAGTGTTGCGGACGTCTGATTCGCTAGGGTGCAGAGCTGGTGGTCTGCCAAAGTATAAACTCAGTTGCTTATCGGCAATGAATATAGCCCAGTAGACCCGTCTAAGAATCTCCGTGTCACGGTTTGATGCTCCTTCTGTCGAAGCGTCCCAGTTGTTTGGGTCAAGGTGAAGGCCCATCTCGTGGGCAAGTCGGAAGGCCATACCAGCAAAGAGCCAGCCTTTTGATGTATGACCTACACCAATTTCACGATAACCCAATAAGGCCAAAGCTTGCAAGGTGGTAAGTTCTGGGCTGTCGAGAGCTGCGTATATCAGTTGCTGAGCCTGGTGGGCAAAGATATCGGATACCGAGCGAGAATCGTCGAGCTGCATGGCGCCAAGCGAGCAGATAGCAAAGAGCAGAGCATCTGAGTAGTATCTGCCCGAGCCAACATCATAGTCTCGTAAGAAGTACTCTCTGTAGATGAGCATATGGAACTGATATTGATACTTAAAATAGGCTGCCATGCACGTCTGGGAGGTCTCATCGTGAGGTGCGTACACAAAGCTCGGGTCTCTCGGGCTGCTGGAAGCGCTCACTTCCGGTATGTTCATCATGAGCGGTGTGGAGTTAGATTCGAGGTGAGTAGTTATCTCATCTGGGGATAATGAGACCTCTTGTGAGAGATGGATGTGAAAAGCGCTGGTGCCGCCAAAGAACTGAGTGGCATGGCTCGATCGAGGGCGTCTCAACTGTCCAGAACGGACCTGAGCAGCTACAACTTTGGGGTCAGTATTTGACTTGGCATGTTCAATCTGCGACTTTTGTGTAATGTCGAGTGAGGCTGGTGGTGAGAGGGCTATCTCGGACAGCATCTCATCTCTCTCAGCGCTGTCGGCAACGGCGAGCTTGCGAAGCAGTAGCTCAAGAGATGCCACTTGACCCTCTAGAGCTTGAACATAGCCTTTAGATATTGGCCTGGTTGGTTTTGGAGTTAGTGATAGTTCATGATTCTGGCGAGGTAGAGTCATACCGTTGCTTCTCTCCGCTACCGCTGAGTATACATTCCGTGCCAGCCTTGATACACCGCGAGCACGGCCGTTTTCGATCACATTTTATCTTGTCGAAGAGTTAGTTTTGAGGTCGATGAAAGAGCTAAAGACACGTATATCGCACCTTGCGGCGACGACATCGTTCACAACTGTAGTAGTCATTTGAGTCAGCGCATGAAAGTGGAGTTGGCTTAGATGAGGGGATTACTCACGATATCTTGATGGACTCGCCCATTGGCGTTTCCTCCATGATGAGGGATGTGTAGATGAGAAGGCGCTTGGGTATGGATTTCTGAGCGTTGATCGCTATTTTTTGGGACAATTAATAGTCGTACCATGAGTGAGTAGTCATAGATGGTAGAAACGGCTCGTTTAGACGCCAAGGGTGAATCGCTAGCTACTACTGGCTGTTTTTATTGGCTTGTCACTTGACCTCAGCATTCAACATTCCTATACATGAAATCACCAAGTGTTTCTCTCACTATTCTAAGGTGTAACAGAAAACATGGACAGATTGAGCAAGAGAACTATCATCTAGAGATGAACGATTCTGATAGATTTTGACTTGAATTGTAGACGGTGTGATTTCACTTGCTCAACGTCCCGGGTAGCTCCAAATGATCTGATCTGACAAGTGTCCGACCTGCATTTGAAGAGCAAGGATTTATGGCTATTACAAGAAAGACTTTGAGTCTCGAGCGGATTATGGAGTCTTTTTGTGCGTAATAGCCATACTTTTAATTATCTCGATGCGTCAGCTATTCAGCCAGCTGAGGAGAACTCCTTGTAAACGGGAGCATGTCAGTTCATGGTGAGTGCAAACCATATCTTGAGCCAACAAGGGTGAATTGGTGGGCATCCTTGTCTCTCGGGTGCCTTGCAGCCAACCTTGTAGATTAAAAAGCATGAGCCACTGCTTATGGTAAGTATATGAATCTTGAAAGGAAACCTGATCGGAACATTGCTGCAGGTGCGTTGCATATCTTTGATGTACAGCCTCGAAGCTGTTGACAGGGCTAAAGACTCATGGAAATCCATCATGTCGATGCTTGTTGTGCTTGCTCGTTGCCAGCACAGCCTGTTGAGTATCTGCTGTAGCTCTGGTAGGGGTGCCTACAGGTTGGCGATGAGAAACCTACCATTTTGTTGTAGGCGGTTGCCATTTCGGCAGTGATGTTGTCACGTCTAAATATCTCAGTCTATCTATCGAGGTCTCCTGAGCCAACCACCCGTCGAACATTGACACCTGAAACACTTGAGTATGCACTGCACTAATCAGCCAACAAAATAATGAACCCAAAGGATAAGGCCGTTGTTCTGCAGGAAGTAACCAGCACGAATATGCTTAATACAGAAATCTCCGAAGGCGCAGGACGATGATGACAGGGGAATATGCGGCCAACGGCCACGGAGACTGACTTGGATGACAGGGAACTTTTGAGTGACATACTGTACATTCGTAGTAAGAAGACGACGAAGAAGGGCTGAAAGAGATGGCGAATCTTGGCATTGAAAGCAGGGGTAAACATGCTGGCTTAGACTCGGAGTCGGCGGCTGCAAGATGTCTCCGGTCTTGCTACCATGAGTTGTGTATTTGCCAGTGACATTGATATTGATCACCACCACCACCACCACCACCACCACCACCCCCCATATTTTGCATTATAATGCATCTGCTATTACTGCCTTAGCCTTTCTCATGATGATCTGAAGTATCAGACTAGCAAGCGGGTGTAACCTATATGCACATCCGTAAAACCTGCCTTTGTTTGTTTCTGATTTCTGAGGGACTTATAATTAACATTCCTTTGACCAACACGTTGTTGATCCAGTTCAGGAATACTCTGCGAAAATAATGAGGCCATTCCCCCAAAGTGCCAAGAATTGCAGAGCCTAGGTCTATCGCCCACGCCGCAACCTGGAACGACTTGGCCCATTGAATGCCTCTTCCGCATGATGGGAAATTGTGGAATTGGGTCAAGTCTCGACCTCGGACCCGCTGCGATATGGGCTATGCTCGATATCGGCCGAGGACAGGGCAAGGATATCGTAATTTAGCCTGGGTTCCTACAGTAGCGCTGAGATTCGGCCAATGATGGTTGCCACGTTTTTCTTGTCCGTGGCCTGTATCTTTATTACCAACTGCATGGAGGTTAATTCATTGTTACCTGTAATTCCACGGTTACCTTACTGTTGCTTATTCTCTGACTCTGCCTTCGCTTAGATTCGACCCCCCCCAATCCAACCAATAATGTCTCAAGATACCTGGCCATAAGACGGATTCACTCTAGATTCTTGGCTCTTGGCTATACTTTCACCTCTACCTAACCGCCCGCAAAGTGAAAGTACCTCTAGCCTCATGCACGGGTGTGGCGGCCGACTAACACTTAAAAAACAAGGGTCTAAACGGTTTCTTTCAACTTACATGGGTCAGCCAACACTCGATAGCTACCTTAGGTACGGAGTAGGCAAGGGAAGTCTTGGTATTCCTTCGTATTAAAGGTCCCCATTGTCAGCTCAATTAGTCTCGTTTCCTTTGTTTCGCGTTTCTTTGTCTATTTATGACCTCATATTAATGAAACTGTCGTACTTAAACAACTCGCCATCATCTGAGGTCTAACGCCCCTGGTTATTGAACCACACACATTCAAAACACCAGAGACCGAGTGCCTCAACTATAATGACAGCCGCTCCAAAACAGTCGGATCCTGCCTCCGAAGAAGACTCTGTACATGCACCCAATAACGCGAACAACATTCATGATGAAGCGGCGATAAAAAAACAGCCCGGCCGGAAAAAATGGTTCATAATTGGTGCAATTGTGTTCCTAATAGTGCTAATACTGAGCTTGACGCTGGGGCTGTATTACGGACTCAGAAAGGTATGTTGCAACTGATCCCTCAAGCACAGTCTTTGGCAGTCTGTAGAATACAATCTGAAGCACGACTGAACCTGTGTTCTCCAAAGGAACACAATGTCGATAAAACCGCCGCCAAAGACAACACCAACCAAACTCCCTCTCCACAACCCAGCGATAATCCAAACAACAACTCAGATGACAATGATAATAACAAAGACAAGGGGAAAAGCTCAGATGACGATAAAGAAGAACCCGCCAAGAAGAGAGAAGGACCGTTTGTGGACCTGGGGTACTCCAAATATGAAGGCAATGTCCTCGAGAGCAACATTCATGAGTATCTCGGTATACGCTATGCGAAAGCCCCAACAGGGGATCTTCGATGGAGAGCACCTGAAGAACCCGAGTCCACAACCGGAACGCTAAAGGCTCAAGAGGTAAATACAATCCAGCTAACTCATCGACAATATCTCATTCTCTATAGTACGCCCCTTACTGCCCAGGAGTCAACGACGGTCTCAGCTCGCGCATTGACGAAGACTGTCTATTCGCCAACGTATGGACTCCAGCAAATGCAACCTCCGACTCGAAACTCCCCGTCATGGTTTTCTTCCAGTCAGGTGGCTACATTAGGAACGCTTCTCCCTACGTGAATGGTACACAGCTCATCTCGGCCTCAAACAACAACATCATCTTTGTTAACTTCAACTACCGTGTTGGCATGTTTGGGTTCCTCGCTTCCAAGGAGGTCAAAGAAGATGGCCACCTTAACGCAGGATTGATGGATCAGAGATTCCTCCTCAACTGGATTCAGAAACACATCGAGGAGTTTGGCGGCGATCCTGAGCATGTTATCCTCCATGGTGAATCTGCGGGTGCCGGATCTGTGGCCCTTCAACTCGTTGCGTATGGTGGAAAGGACGAGGGACTTTTTGCTGGTGCCATTGCTGAGTCGACATTTATGCCTGGCCTCCCCAACCCTGACGATCTACAGTATCAGTTCGATCGAGTTGTCAACGCCACAGACTGTGCGGACGCCGACGACACATTGAAGTGCCTCCGCGGAATCAAGTCGACAGACCTCCAAGCCCATAACGCAAAGGCTCCTTTCGACGGCCGCACTTATCGATCTTACTTCTACTGGGCACCCACTACTGATGGTGACATGTTTCCAGACTTGCCTTCTAAGCTCTACGAGAAGGGCGAATTTGTCAAGGTGCCACTACTCTCTGGCTCTTGTACAAATGGTATGTACCTGAACCCATATTCATGTTGCATTACTAATTCTATACTTAGAGGGATCCAATTATGCCGTCAACGCAGGCAGCTCAGCCCAGTTCATACGCTACATGCAAAATGAATACCCCTATTTGACCACAGAAGATACCGAGACCATTCTCGACCTCTACCCACAAGAGCCCAAGATCGTAAAACACGATACTTGGTTTCCCTCAGCCTCGCGCGCGTACGGCGAAGCAACCTTCATCTGCCCTACAAACAACATCCTCAACGCCTTCGCTGAGCACGCCGACCCCAAGACCCTCTGGTCTTATCGCTATAATGTTGCCATTGAAGAGTTCACCAACGACGGCTATGGCGTTCCCCATGTCTCCAATGCGCCCGCCGTGTTTGGCCCTGATATGACAGCTGCCAAAGCTGGCCCCAGCTATCGCACTTACAACGCGCCCATGGTCCCCATTGTCCAGAACTACTGGATCAGTTTTGTCCGTAGCTTCGACCCAAACACTCACCGTGACGAGGATGCTCCTCGCTGGGAGAATTGGGGTGATGACCAACGACGTCTAGTGTTTGAGTTGAACAACAACACAATGGAGAGTGTGGACAAGGGTCAACGGGAGCGATGCGAGGCTTGGTTAGATATGAGTGGCTCTACCAAGCATTAATGATCTTCACGACTTTGATTACATCACGATTCACAAGCATTTATTTTATCGAATATACTTGATACCCATGTCATATACATAATACATCTACTCACATTCACCCTGCCGATTCAATGTGATCTCCTAGTCTAGTTGATTTCGTTCATCACCATGATTGCCTTGAACCAAGTAATCGTATGTTTCATCTAGTACTAGTTCTGCCTCAAGTTGCTCAACATATCAATGCTTAGCATAATGTCGTTGTAGTTCATGCCATCACAACATCCAGGTAATATGTTCAACTACCAACGAAATAATCGCTATAACATTCAGTCATGGTAATGAATAGTCTCACCCTGGTTGAATTTAACAGGAAAAAGTCGCCATGTTATCCTTCAGAATCCGAATCCTGAGATCAGCTCAATGTTCGTCGCATTAAAGCTTGGACTGCCCGCTTTGCCTCTGCTGCCCAGCGCTTCACTCGCCGTGTTCTGTTGCGTATTCTCTGTGGCAACATTACGCTCGGTGTTAGCATAGAATCTTCAAAAGAGCTGCCCTGAGTAATCTCAGACCGTAACGGTGTAGGGTCGCTGAGGTTGGCTGGACCCCTTGGCCTTTTCCGTATGTTCGTCGGCGAAGCCCGGAGTCGAAAAAAAGACGACTTCTTCCTTATGGGCTTTGAATAGAGAGTTCTGTCAAAATTCTTCCTTACGAAGTTCTTCCCTGAATATAGTGTTTTGTCAAAGTCCCATCTGTCGAATATGCCAAGCCCGCTATCAAACTTTGATTGACTCACTAGTTTCGCCGTTACTATACCCTTAGTTGAAGGGGGGTAAGGAATATCAAACTGGTCAGACAGCTGCCGCGAAGGTCCTCGGATAGTTCCTTCGTCGATGTTAGAGAGTCGCTTATCAACACCAAACTGGGCGAGTTGCTCTTCCAGTGCTTCCCTAAAGCTCGATCGATCTGTAAAAACGTCTCTGTGAGGAAAGTTCTTCAGCTCTAAGAGAGAGCTGTACTGCTTTAACGGGCTGTTGCGCACAATTGTTCCGTCAGGGCCCATTAGCTTATTGCTCATTCGACTTCGAGACACTTTGAGTCTGAGTCTTGGCTTGATAGGATTACTGGAGCTTCTCTCAGGAATGCCCGGAGATTCAAGGCTCCATTTGCTCTGAAGCCCTGACCGAGACGACCTTAGACGAACTTTGAACCGAGAGGGATTGGTCTGGGTTGGATGGTAGTATGGCTTTGTCGAGTCATTGGTTCTTGATACTGGTTTTGAAGACATCGCATCCACACCTACTTTAGACTCCAGGCGAATAGCATTATTAGCAGGATTGCTGGCATACGTCTTATATGCGTGGGCTGCGGTATTTCTAGACGAACTCCAACATGGGAGATCGGAATTGTATTGCGCTTCATCAGGTAACGGTGGCAGAGCCTTCATTAACTGCGGAATGCTGTTTGTGACCCTCAGCTGATGTGCTGGTGAGATTGGGTTAGGTGAAAGAATCCCAGCGCCGATAGTTGCTTTTGGCACGCTCTGCTTCGGTAGGGCCACATCGTTCTTATTCGGGATCTTAATGTTTGTATTGGCGGGGGTTCGGCGATGATGCGCCCCGCGGAGCTTTGGTTTCACAGGGACCCCTTCGTTTCCCATATGTAACGAAGGTTTGTCTGGGCATCGAGCTTTCGTCTTTGGTGGAACAGGAGGAGGACTTGCCCGAACAGTGTCATATTCACCGGATCCCTTATCTTTTTGGCTACCTTCCCAAACCCAGTCGTCTTCGCTGGTGTCGATAGATAGTACGGGAGAGCCGCGCTGGGCTAGAGTGGAAGTCATCAGGTGGCCTTCCTTCGGCTGCTCCTCTCGAGGTTTTGTAACCATGTCGCATATTGCAGGCCCCATAACTGAGATATTTGGGGTACAGCAGGGCTCGGGGAAACTTGAAAGTCCACCATTGTAAGTATCTGGTTGCTTTTGCTAAAAGCGGCTGTCTTCCAGCTTATCCATCGCTGGTTGCTCACAGGCCGGCTGCATTGGAGATTGTTGGGTTGTTTTGATAAAGATCGGAGTTTCCTTGCAACTAGAATTAATATCGGAATCATAAAATTCTTGCCGCTGAGGACTGGACGCATGTAAGTTGCCATACATTGGCACCGAAGCTGCCTGGTTTTGTTTGTTTTCATGTATAGCTGAGCTTCCATAAGAATCTAAGCTTGTTAGTTTCATCAAATTCATCAGCAGAAGTCATACCTTTGAAGCTGGCCGAGGGCGCCGTAGTTGTTTCCTCCATGTCGTCTCTCCTCAATATGACGGTAGTATGCCCTTGAGGAGAGCCAATTGGGGACGCATACTCAAATCCGGATGGGAATCCCTTGTCAAACTCTTCAGTATAATCGTAGTAGAACGAGCTTGGTGAACGAAGAGGTTGTGTGGCATCGTCCGGGGTCCTTCCGTGATACATGTCCACGATGGACGTCAAACTGGCAGATCGAACACTTTGGTCGCCAGGCATGTACTGAAGATATGGAGATTTCGATGGCGGATATCCCGCACCGCTGGGTCTTCTTGACGGATTGGCCCTTGAACCGTAATAAGGTGCGGATGAGGAGCGCGGAGGTAATGAAGACATTGATCGACTGAATTCGGGCCTCAAGGACAAGGGAGGGTATCGTCGATGCTTGCGATAACCCCTATGCATGTGAGAACTGTAGTTCATGCGCTGTTAACCGTCAGACTGGGGTTGATTGTGAGAGAAGAAGGAGTTACTGACATGCGAAGACCTGTCAATCTCAACCATTCTCCGGTGATCAATGAGACCATTATCTGTCACTGCTGGAGAAGAAGGCCGGACACCAGGCCGTCTCAGACGTGTGGGATATGGAAATGGCGAGCGAGGACGCTGAGGGCCATTATTGCTTTGTTGACTGTGAAAGGTACCGGATGATTTAAAGGAAGGAACCCGCCTTGAACTGCACGTTGTCAAAGAGTACGTTCGCTGGCCTTCCGACGTGGGAGAAAAAGACCTGGGATGAGGAACTCCAGGAGAGCCATATAATGAAATGATCTCGGAAGTCGTGTCTCGATACGACGGTAGCGATCTACGGTCGTCCCGGATTGGACCGTCCTTAACTTCATCGTAATAAGGGCGAGCTGGCCGCCTCGCCCTTTTATGACCGACTCTTGTGCGAGGGGGTCGAGATATATTTGAAGGTAAACCAGAATTGATGGAGTAGATACCAAGATCTCCGGTCTCTGTTGTCGTCTTGAGCATGCTCTCTAGAGGCCCGGTAGAGCGGAGGAGAGCAGAAGTATCGTTCAAGCTCTGAAAAGGTAGTCGTGGTTGAGACGGAGACCGTAGCCTCGGGGTAGTGGAACGTCTTTCATGAGATTGATAGGCGCTGTGCAGTGAAGCTTGGCTGGCTGATCTGTATCTGGAATCACCGAGGTTCATGATCACTCGCTAACAACTTGACGCTGCATGGAATGCAAATGGAGAGGGGGATAAGATAGACAAGGAATATTCGACTGATCATTTACCGATCAGGAGACCAAGAAGACCAAGAAAGTCGGAGTAGGCGATTACAAGCCAAAATGGCAATAGTCACAGGCAAAAGATGGACACATTCTCGAGAATGATTATTAGTGAAGACGAAGTATTGAGATCTGATGGGAAGTTGAGGTCATCTTGCGGCAAGGATCCTTCCTTCGGACAAGAATTACCTGAGGTAGGTATGAAGAGTCTAATGTTGGATTCCTTCCTGTTTTCAAAGAGGCACGCACTTGCAATTACAGCTGCACTTACCATTATTTGGATTGGAAGGTTGGTCTTGATGTTGCTATCACCCTAATGAATATGAAGGAGGAGCTACCTATGTTGTTGTGGTTTGTAGGTAAGGTAGTACCAATCTAGCAGGTACCTGGGTGCCCAGTGTACTTTAGGCAGTAGATGCCACACTTTGTAGCCAGGCAGGAAGGGCAATGGTGCCAAAGTTGAGGCCGGAGAGACAGCTCCTTCCACGTGACATGCAACGAGGCCATCACCAAGCTTGGGGAGGCAACCTTAGGATCTTTACCTAAGCGACAAAAATATTTAGGTGATTTAGCCTAAGCTTAGGGGTCTCTTTACTGAGTTTATTTTGGCATCCTCATTTCAAGTCTTAAGTTTTCTTGCTCCTAAGGTTGTTGTTGAGTGTGGCGTACCTGCCCGGAGATAAAGACCCACCTCTAAGGGCCTGTTTCAACGACGGCGTAAAGATCGACAACACTCTTGCCATCTATGCGATTGGAATGCCGATGATATGAAACGCCACGAGATGAAAGAGAGTTCATGAGAAATCCCAAAGGCAATGAGTGTTGACTTTTCGGTGCTACAAATGGGATATTTACTCGTCAATGAATGCATATCGACGTGGGTGGCGTTCATTCCTCCTTCGTAAAGAGCAGCATTGGGCGTCAAGATTTATGCCAACGCATTGACTGATACGAATTGGTTCACTAACATAACATGCCTATTGTCAATTCTCTAACAAGTTGAGTGTGTCCGTGCGATAGACTAACATCTCGGTCACCTTCACCGCCGACAAGGGCTCACGTGCATCACGAATCTCAATATGAGAGACCGGTCACGGGTTTCTATTATTGTCATGCGAATTCCTAAAAGAATTAGCCGTAATAAAGCATGCATAAGCACAAGTCGAGAGCTCTCCGAGTCATCTCCGCAACCGGTATCCCAGGTCCAGACTCAATTTCATGCCATTGACATCTTCAAATGGGTGTCCTCCGTGTGTAGCGTGACTCACCAATTTCGGACACGTCCAAAGGCAAAGCGGTTTGCGACAACCCTTGGCAAGGGACCTGGACTCGGGAGTGTAAGGACGGGACCGGAACCCCGTACCGAAAACGGGCTGCCGCATAGAGTCTAACTCAAACATCTGACTCGGCAACAGGGTTCAATTGGTTCGATGGGTCTAGAGTGGCACTTCTTGAATTGTTTCCCACCAGAAACGTCAATTAGATGCCTGGATTTGGTTAACCCTGGTAGGTGGGCTGGGCTATAATACGGGATCAAGAAAGTGATCATCTTGGAGATGTCTGTAGATCATCGAGGGGAGCGAAATGCTGTTGAAGAAAGAAGCCCAATTTTCTATTCCAAGGCTTATCAAGGTACAGTCATAGAAAGGATCATCTGCTGCTTCAGATTTAAGCCTAAAATGTTGGTGGAAAGTTTGATGTTTCTATTGTTACTCTTGGGGTGTGGGTTCTATCACAACTCAAATGCCTCGGCCACCCTTCAAGATTTTCCGTCCTTGTGGACGACTCTAGCTGGCAGAGCCTGGCAATCTCTGTCATTCAACTGGTCACCGTACCATCCCCGCAGTTTGTGAAGCCCACTTGGTTGGCTCCATCATTGCTTGTCCAAGCCTAGTCAGGGGTCTATCGCACACTTGGACTTGTTTGAGCTCAAGCTAATGTCGGATGCACATGTTTAACGGGCCTTTGAATTTGAACAAAAGGGAACCCTTTGCCTTCTCGCCCGGCTCTAGAAAGTCAACAAATCATCAACGATAGACAGCGTCCGTCTTTCAGCTCTGAGCTTGGAGGATAAGCAAAGCCTTTGATTCTTATTCCCGATTCTCAGCGGACGTGGATCATTTCTTATAACAGTGTCAACATCGACACCTTCCAACACCCAGTCTTGCCACACCAAGCATTCAGTACCGGATTCAGTTTGTCTCGCCCACAATGACGGATCGAAGGCCCATCCTCACTCTCCCACTCCCAGCTCGGGATCCTTTTGAATCTCAACGACCTGGTTCATCACTTCAAAGCCCATCAATACGCAGCCCTCGGTTTCATGAAGACTTCGATGCACCTTTCTCGTTGGACATCATGAACGCCTCGAGAACAACTCTTGCAACCGACACCATGAGTTATCCTTCAACGGGCACAACTAGCCGTAACAGTTTTGGCTGTGATGGTGACCGACCGCCACCCCTTCAATATCGCAATGCTTCCTGGGAGTCAGAGACCAAGCGTCGGTCAAAGGTCAATGATCGCATCCTGGAGTGGGCAAAGAGATCATGGGGAGCTGTTCGCACGCGGTCCAACTCCAAGGATGACCCCAAGGACGACTATTTTGAGGGTCACTCAGCCCAGAGCCCAACAAGCGATATGACGTCGCCTTCATCAGATAACATCACACCCTCGGAGCCCGATGGCGGCCGAACAGCCCACGACAATCAAGTTTTTGCTGTCACTAGGTTGCCAAGTTCGAAGGCAGGGTCGAAGTGATGCGTTGAGATGGACTTCAAATACCCTTATCCTAATTATTAATGAGGTGGGAAGGCTAGTAACGAATAATGTCGGCGTTAGGAGGCACTTTGTTTCTGCTCGGCTCCATGAGATGACCGATTGCAAGACCATGGGTCTTGAATTTTAGGATTAACGAGGAACCAGACCTTGATAGGAGGCATGCCCTCAGAATACACCACCGCCAATGATGAAAAGGCGCTCTTCTTCCCTCTTGGCCCATTGGATAATCTTGTTCGCTCCTTGTGTAATGGTCGCTCTCGACACATTAGGCCCAGCAACACAGTAAAACTCAAACACGGGTGTGGTCCATGCCAATGAGGTGGCATCATCTCCGATAGCGTGCAAAACTTTGAGATGCGAGTGTTTGGCGTGAATGGATGCATGGAGCTCATGGTACACCGTCATCAATCTCCTGCGCTCAACAAGACCAGTGAAGTGCGGCTCCAATGACGCCATGCAGAATTGTACGTTGGCCCGCGACTTGTAAAGGAAGTGGCTGACTTGGCTCCCGGGGGCAATTTCGTGTATTTTTGGTCGACCAAGGCGGGTAGCGTTCTGAATAATAGCCAGTGTCCCATTTTTGGCAAGCTGCTGGGCGACATTGTCCCGCATCTGCTTCAGCTCGAAGAAGCTTTCACGATCGGTGCTTACGAGGATCATTGCGATTTCTTCTTCTGATGAGCGCCCTTGTGCCGCGGCAGGAGAACTAGCTTGATCCCCAGAAGTACCGTCAAAGAAACTGACGTACATGTAAAGATAACCTTTGTTGTTAAAAGCGGGAAGGCAAATGGGGATCCAGTTCTCTCCACCACCACCCTTGATGCCGTCGCTCTCGAAGAGCATATTGAAAATAAGTTGCAGGTCGCTGGGATGAAGTGAATGCCGACGAGGCCGAATGACGCTGACAAGTTTCCCACCAGCCACAATTAGACCATACAGCAACTTGTCTGTACGCAATTTGAGGAAAGTATTGTTGATTGCATGCCGTTGAGACTTTCGAAGCCGGAGACATTCCAAAGATCCAAGCAAAGCCGAAGCAGATCCCTTTGTGAACGTATCAGCCAGAGAAGACAGAAGACCCTCGGTCCCTTCAAGAGGCTTTCGCAAGTCAGTTGACGGTCGGTTCGCAAAAATATGAGTTAGTCTGGGCAAGGTTAGTGTTGACAAGATTTGCATATATAGCGCATCCAATTGTGCCTGTATCTGCGAGTCGCTTTCACCCAGCTTGCTGATAGCGACAAAGTAGAGCGGGCCTTTGGTCAAGATAACAAAACGAGTATCCCCGGCAGAAAAGGCCTGAAGGGGATTCTTGGCACCTTCATAGAATGAAATGATGGTTTGAACAACGCCCATGGATGAGTTTATCAGACTCAGATCTCCATAGCGGCTCCAAATGGGCTTTCCGGCTGATGACAGAATCAGATAATGCTTCAGCTTCGACTTCCAGAGATGCAAAATGTCAGACTCAACATCTTCATCATAATCCTCCGGTAGAGAATTGAACTCGTGGTGAAACTCAGCGAACCGGTCGTTTGCGCCTATTCTGCCTTTCTCGAAAGGAAGAACAGTAGCCGACTGAGTTCGCAACATTTTCCAAGCTGGACTCTTCTTATGTAGTTCACCGACGAGTAGACTTGCGATATCGCCAGCAGGTCGCATTGTCGGTGCAAAACTCATGATGCTAGCAGTCTCGTCTGCCTCACCGCTGCCACTACTCTCCTGTCGATTTGGGGAAGCATGACCACCCTCAGCGGGGCTTGGGAGTGCGTCGGGTCCAGGAGTGGAAAATGTCCCTCGAGATCCATCAGGAAAAGAGAGCGTCTGTATTTCAACAGGAGTTATTGCCGTGGTAGCATGAGCTTGCAGAGACGCCGTGTCGGTAGCGCTCGTTGATGGCCGAGGCGGTAGAGGTGGACGATAATCTTCGTTTGTGGGAGATGCTGGCTTTGGGGTCATTTCATCCGACTCCATGATTGCGGCGGATAGCTCACTCGTCGCATTTCTTGGCAGAGCAGCCTGTCAGGAGGAGAGATGGAAGAAGACCTATTTTTACCAGAATCATACGACCTGGAAATCCTCTGTAGATATGAAGCGAGGCCATTATGCCATCTTGAGAGGCCGCATATGATTAAGAAGCGATGATATCGACAAAAAAAGAGGAGGTCAAGAGCTTCATGGGGGGCATGACGCGCTGGAGGGGCTGTTGCAGCCTTGCGCTAATAGGTCTAAGGCTTGGAAGCTTGAACCAATCAGAGTCCGCACTCACAGAGCTCCGCCAGTTTCAGGGTGGCTTCAGTGGGTGCAGTTGAAGCTACCAAAGGGAGGCAAGAAAGCTGAGGACCTCAATCCTAAATGACAAAAAGACTTAGGCAAATTTAGGAAAGTTTAGGTCAATTTAATATAAATTAGTTAACCTTTAGACTAGTTATTTTTGGCACCTAGGCTCAGGGTCTGGAGCTTTCTTGCTCCTTGAGGGCTACCTGTATGCTCCACGTAGCCTTCTAATTGGGATCGGTGCACCTGCTTGATTACGACGATTCATAAACGACCTTGTAGGCCATTTGTTGCGATCCTTAGCCTCTAGCGATGCCTTTTGCTGCTGTCGCAACACGATAGGATACCCGATGTCCTTGATTTCACCTATAACCGCATATTTCACTAGCCATGGCTCTTGAGCCCGGGTCCGGTCGTCGCTCAGTGTCTCCCGAGAGCTCGGGTCGAGAATCACCTATTCTACGCCAATGGAGGAACCAGCTGGGTGAAGGTGGGTGTGCGCCTTTGACACGGAGAGAAATTGGACCATTTTCTGACTCACAGCGCAGAAGATTATGCCATCAAGGATAAATCTTATCGCAAATATGCACACGGAGTTGATAGGGCACTTGTCTTATTCGAGACAGCTTTGGAGGAATGGGCAGACTACATTTCGTTCCTGAACAAACTTCTGAAGGTATGATGCATGCGGAAATTACCAAGTCGTATCGTTAATAACGAATCTCAGGCTCTACAAGCTCGCCCCAAGTCGATCAATGCCATCCCGTCCAAAGCTACTGTTGCGAAACGACTCTCACAGTGCCTCAATCCCTCCCTCCCGTCTGGCGTGCACCAAAAAGCTCTCGAACTATACAATCTGGTATTCTCGGTCATTGGTAAAGATGGTCTATCGAGAGACCTACCTCTATATCTGCCAGGATTGGCCACAGTCCTCTCCTTTGCTTCGCTGTCAGTAAGGGCACCATACCTAGATCTCCTGGAACGGCACTTCCTTGGCATCGACCCCCGATCACTTCGCCCAGCAATGAAATCTATAATACTTGCTCTGCTTCCTGGCCTCGAAGAGGAGACAAGTGAAGACTTTGACCGAACACTGCGCCTTGTGGAGAGCTTCAAGCATGCCATTAGGCCCTCATATAGCGAAGAAATCACCAATCAGCATTCTTCAGGTGATGCCTTCTTTTGGCAATGTTTCTTCCTAGCATCGATAACCAGCCAGAGTCGTCGCTCTGGGGCACTGGCGTACTTGGTACGCTCTCTGCCGCCCTTGGGGCCAAGGGCAGCCCCTGACCCGAACAAGTCAGCGACATCGCAAAGTGACGGCGACGAAGACACTAAAAGCAAGCTCGCGGAGGTCGTTACATCCCCTGAGCCGGGGCTCTTGTTACGTTGCTTTGCGAGTGGCCTTTCGGATGAACAGCTACTAATTCAGCGCGGCTTCTTAGACCTCCTAGTTTCTCATCTCCCACTAAATGCTCATGTTATTCAGTCCCGAGTAAAGCCGGACGACCTTGAACTACTGCTAAAAGCAGCTGTTGGCGTAGTCACTCGGCGCGATATGAGTTTGAACAGGCGCCTTTGGGCGTGGCTTCTGGGGCCTGAACCGGCCGCTGAACATGAAGCCAGCGGCGACAATTCATCCAGCTCTCCTGCTGACCAGCATGCCTTCTTGGCTTCAAAGACCAACTATTTTGAAGAATTCGGATTGCAACCCTTGACCAAGGCTATCTTGCAAATGATTGAAAACAGTTCTCATAATACAGCTAGTGAACGCGCCAAGCCTTACAGAATATGCTTGTCTTTGATGGATCGATGGGAAATTGGCGGCTTGGTTGTCCCTGAGGTTTTCCTGCCCATTATCGAGAGCGTGCGTCGATTCAAGGACCATGCCTCAAACAAGGCGGAGTTTAACGAAGTCTTGCGGAGTGCTAGCGTCTTCTTCGATGGTATCGAGAGCGGCCTAATCTACGGCGAAATTGCTGCACTTCTTGCCCAGGCTCTGGGTCCTGGAGCTCTCAGTCCACCCGAGCGCAACGACAAACTCTCCCTTGTCAACTTTATCTTGTCCAACTTCAACGTGCGGGAGGAGGAAATGGTCACAATCCATGCACCTTTGTGCTGTCTAACAGCATTGGCTATGCTTCAAGACTTCAAAGAGCGCGTCTCTGCCAGGAACCACTTAGATTCGCAAATGTTCACCCTTTCTACTCAAGCCCTGAGCGTTGCCATGTCACTCTTGGAGCTTGTTCCAGAGAGGGTCTTTCCTGTGATCAGTAAGGACTCAGAGAATCGAAGCAAAAGTTTGCCGACAAACGTGGAGATTTTGAAGAAGTCGCAGAGCTTTTATGTCAATGAACAGGGTAATATTGAGGCGTCTGCCTCCCCCTTCAATGCTTTGACTATAGGACGAGCTATCCTAGAACAAGCTGCTCAATTTGTCTGCCAGGACCTGGGATCATCTGAGACTGATCTCAATGCTTGCATTCGGTTACTCGTTCTTGCAATCTACAAGACCCCAAGAACATATGAAGCCAAGGAGGAGGAACTCCTGCAACTCATGCTTGAACTTCTTGAACACCCAGATATTATCGCATTTTCGTCCTTCTCGGCTATCCTGCAACTGTCGACTCAGCTTTACTATGCCGAGAGGATCGAGACAGCACAATTATCAAGTCTGGTGCCTCTCTTGGTCCGGCATGCCTGGACTTACCTTTCAGCATCTGAACCAAAATACCATGTCGAAGCAGTCAGGGGTTTATGGCAACTGCAGTCGGCTCTATCCACATCCAATCGTGATATTGAAGCAGCATTGTCCAGTCTTATCATCTCACAAGAGACCGCTCGTCTCGGTGCTATCGAGGCGGTTGACAAAGGTCGTGCTTTGAGTGTGCTATGGTCACACACTTTACAAGACAATGGTTCGCCTGAGCGTCGAGGTTCTAAAACCCCGACACAGGATATGAAAAGCCTCCCGCGCCTTGCTGGAGCCGACAACTACGAGGTTATGCTCACACAGCCAGTATTCCTCATCCTTGATGCCCTACAAGATGATCGGACCCCTCTATATATGACAGTCAAGGCGTGGCTTAACACAATGCTGGGGATTGATAGGTAAGTCTCAGTTCTGAGAATTTGGAAACCACTGCTAATGAATACCAGACTTTTTTTGATATTCATTTCCAGGTTATCCGACATACCCTTCTTGCAGACCCTAACACAGAATGACGAGAAACCCAATCAAGATTCATTGTCATTCTCCGAGGACGAGGATCTGGATCTTTCTCTTTACTACCTCAGAACACTTTCAAATATATTGACGTGCGCTGGAGATATTTCATGGACTGTGCTATCGTCCAAACATGTTTCCTTTCATGGTCAGCATATGCAGATCAGTTGTAAGTCACCCATTTACACATGCGCAACTTGAGTCTGACCAGATGAAAGCTGGGGGCGAAGAAAATGAGATGACATTGCAAGAGTTCTTCATTCGTGTATGCATGAGGTGCATAACGGCCAACACCCCTGACAATGCTACCAAGGAGTTTGAAGATCGTGTCAACCAACTCTATAGATACGCACTCAGCCTTCTACATAGGTTTCTCCTTAGTCCTTTTGCCGCCTCTCTATCAGCTCAGCACCTTGAAAACGTACTCATCGATCGACTTGAGAAGTCTCTTCGAGGCTCGGATGGATATGTGCAGGTTCTTTTGCTTGATGTTGTTTATGATACACTCAAGCTTAGAGATATCGCCCCGGCTGACGTTCCAACTTCCCCTATATCTGAAAGACGGCCATCCTCATTTGACCCAAGGGGAAGCCGGCCATCACTTTCAGTGCCAGAAGCCCGGATAGTCTCGCCACCGCCACCTAAACTTCTCCAATGCCTGCAAGATGGTCTCAGCTCACCCAGTAGCCGCCCGGTCCTAGACAGCTGGGTTGCTTTCGTCTCCGAGTGCTTGCCGCTATACTCCGATTCTATCTTCCAGGTCCTCATTCCCATGGTTGAGACACTTTGCAGAGAAATCGGTACAACCTTTACCAACTTGCAGGAAACCTTCTCCTCCAATGCTCTATCTCCTGGTAGCGAGAAATCGTCACCTGAGTCTACCCTTATTTTCCTCCTCAATGGACTCGAGCAAGTTCTGGCACGGGCACATCAACAGCTCCTGAGCGAAGAGGCTCGGACACAGGTGGCAAAGAGCCCGGATCAGCCCCAGTCTCTCTTTGGAAGCATGGTGTCAAACGTGTGGCAATCAGACGCCCCCCAGTCTCGCAGTGCTACGGCAAATGACCGACTGACAGTCCATCTGGCGTTCCAGGATGCTGTCCGTATCTGTTATAAGATTTGGACATGGGGCCAAGGCAATGACTCAAGCAAGCAAGATCAAGGCTCCTTTGGGTCATTCAATTATACATCCTTACGCATGCGTAATCGTGCTAGGAGATTACTTGAACATCTCTTCGCTGCAGAGAATCTCCAATGCCTCGAGACAGTCATTGCTCTATGGAAACAATCAATTGATGGTGCTGAGTCAATCCAGGTCTTCAATATGCTTTCTGCGTTGGAGGCATGCCGGCCCAAGCACTGCATGCCTGCCTTATTCAATGCTATATACCGAAGGACCGGTGCCGGTGCCGTTGACACTGCATCCAAGTCCACGATGACAATATCCTTGCAAGACACCGATCTTGTTTGGTTTCTTGTGGAGTATACAAGAACATTAGATGATGATGCTATGGACGAGATATGGCAGGATTGCATGGTCTTCCTCAAAGACCTTCTCACGAATCCATTCCCACATAGGCAAACACTGCCAAACCTTCTGGGATTTGCTGCTCTTTTAGGCGAGAAAGTTGACAACACCAACTTTGGAGAACAGAGGAGGATGAGAAAGGAGCTAGGGGTATTATGATATCCTCATTTATGACCTGCGTGTTCGCTAACATCGTTGTAGGACACTTTTATCCGTCTCCTTGCTGCTCTTTTCACTACAAGACCTGTGGCGTTCACTGACTCAACAACATCGGGCAGTGGTATTCCTAAATCCGACTCTGGGAACTCCCTGAACGGAGCTAGCGAAGGGCCAGATGATATCATCTCTATATTGGCCTCTATCGTTCCAAAACTGACAAAAATCTTGGTTGAACCTGACAGGGTCCTCTCTGCTGCGGCCACTATCTCTACTAATGTTATTGGACCAACCTTGAGGGCTAAAGGATTCCCTGACATAGTATCGAAGAACACGATGTGTCTTCTCCACGAATTATCACGAGTTCACAATAACCAGAAGAATTGGAAGAAGGATGTCGGCGATGCTTTCAATGACCCCAAGTTCTTTGGCATGGATCTTGATTTGGCCAAGGAAGACTGGCTGCCGTTGTTAAGACAATGGACTCTTACGGACAAGGAGAAGATGCCAGAGATCGTGGGTCGCATTAGTGCCCCTTCGACAGCCGGCATTGTGTTTGGTGTTGGAGCAACTTCAGCTCGTCTCGAAGCTGATCGCAAGACGCAACTCAACCTCCGGAGAATTGCCACATTGATTCTTGCGGGCTCTGAAGATGCATTTGTTTCGGATCTGTCGGAGATATTTAGCAAACTGGCTGAGCTTTTGGGCGCTTCGTCAACATCCTCGCCATCATCAACGACAAGAGCGGATATTTACATGGTATTCCGTGCACTGGCTTTGAGAACTAGTGCTATCCATTTAGGCATGCTATGGCCAGTTGTCAACGCTGAGATTCATGCAGCAATATCTTCTGTTGCTGCACCCGACAACAGCACTGCTTCTGACACTTACACCAACGCCTCAGTTTTGCAGGCCTGTAAGCTTTTAGATCTTTTGATCTGTGTGGCACCGGATGATTTCCAGCTTCATGAATGGCTCTTCATCACTGACACTATCGATGCCGTGTATCGGCCATCCACCTATCAACCTGTAGCCCTTGTCGACGAGCTGTCTGACGAGCTCGGAGCGTCCGTCAATAGCTCGGGCTTCCAATCCTCTTCTGTTGTTAACCCAGTGACACGTGGCTCATCTCGACGGCCCCTTCTCGGACCAGGTGGCATTAATGATGATGTCAGCCTTGATAGAAAGGATGAGCTGGTAGCGAAGGTACTCCGGCCCTTCTTTGGACAGCTTAGTATCTTTGCCTTTGAGTCTACATACGCAATGGGCCGAGTTGATCGAGATGCCTGCATCTCGAGCTTGTTGAAGGATATTTTTGATGAGAGGAGTATAGTTAGGGCATTATAGAGATGACAACTCATGTATAACAACGGAGAGATGGATTTCATAGAGTGGATATTCTCTAGCGACCTATCTGTTGAAAAAAGCAAGATCCAAAAAGAGAGTTAAATTGTCCTAAGCATATGCATGTAGGTTCAAAACCTGTGAAGCCTTGACGGCCACTGTACAAAGTGATATCTCGTAAAACTAACCCCGAGATACTCTAGACCTACAACGAGATATCTCAATAATGCGCCTTGAAGTGCTCGGCTTCATCTCGGTTCAGCCGTTTGAAAAGATGAGAAAACAAGAAAATGAAAACCCCGAACCCAACACAAAGACTTCAGCCTCTGGCTACGGAACACCTTAGCTCTGAGCATATCCCACGAAGCCCAGTTGGTTCGTGAGAAGGTTAGCTTGAAAATTCCTCATGCGAGAAATATCGCAAACACTACCCATGTGTGGATCAATAATCGCAGCGGCAGCCATAGCTTCTTCAAGAGTACCCCCGTACACCCTCGCAACAACACTCTCGAAAGCATCTTTCTCCATAACAGCCCCGAACTCCAGACACTTAGACACGCCAACAAGTTCCGTGCCTAGTAAGTCTAGTCTTTCTAGCAGAAGACTCTTGTCGAAGCGTGACGCTAGCTCGAACCAGGCTTGCACAGGCGTGATCTCCAAGTCGCCGGGGTTGAGACTCTGTGCTAGGCCATAAAGGGAAGATAACGATATTCGGGGCGATGGCCACTCCAGATGCACGGGAGGTACGTAAGGATCCAAGCCGAGAGAACGACGATTGTGGCAAGACGATGCTGAAGAGACTAACTTGCGGTCACCAAATACATCCAAAGGTGCATTGGCCATGCAGAGTGAAGATGCCATGAGGCAGTGGCCTTTGGGTTCGTCGTTGGAGAGGTGAGAGTGAGATGGAAAATCACCAACGAAGAAGTGATCCCAACAGATATGCTCAAGTCTGTGAAATGTCAGCGAGGCTATCACAACATTCACGATGCAGGATGAGCTTACGAGAGGATAAAGTTAACAGCCTTTTGCTCCTCATCAGGGGTCAGGTTGAGGTCCGGTAGAGGCGGTGGCGAACTCGTAGCGTTGCTGCTCGATTCGTTTGATCGGATACTGAAAGCTGGCGTCTCCATCGATTCATCCTTCTTGAGAGTAACAATAATGTCGTCGACGTTGATATCGGCAAATATCTCTCCGCCATCTTGATCGTATTCTTGAAAACTAGGATCCTCGGCCCTCAACTTCACGCCCAGCGTGTCATCGACCCAAGCGTCATTGTCGCCAGTAACCACGTCTTTCGTGAGACGGGGACGTATAGAGCAGGTACCAGACTTGCATCTTGGGATAGTGATGCCTTTATTCGTTAATAGTTCTTTGATAGAGTCATTGTCCTTTTTGAGTTGTTCAGACTCAAATTCCGTCAAGGCAATAAGTTCACGGAAGTGAGTAATGTCGAGCTCGAGTTGTTTCTGATATTCTGCTTTGCGTTGGCGATGCTGGATCTGAGCCCGTCGAACCTGGGTCCGGCGCAACTTTGCTTTCTCAGTCGCAGTAAGAGACTTGCGAGATTTCTGGGGTGAAGTCTCACTACTGTTTTCGGGTGCTGGGGGGTGTTAGTGGTGTCTTGGTGATATGTGAGATGTCTTGCACGATTGTCTGAGATTCTAAGTCGAAGAGTGACCAGTCACTGAACCGGACCTTTACGGAATCAAGCGGACCAAAGATATCGACTGAAATCACACAGAAAGACAACGAGGGCACGCTCTATACTTACACTCACTGCTCACCCCAACGCTGCCTCTACTCTTCCTCCCCCTCCGCTGGGGCGTGGCGCAGTCAGGGCCCTCACATGGCGTTCCAGCGACCTTCTGCTTCGTCTTTTTGAGAAACTCGGTAAAAGAAGGTCTCTCGTCTGCTGTAGCTGTATTTGCCATGACGTGATTAGATGGCAATTTGCTGCTGGAGGCTTTTGTATGTAAGTTCGAGAATGAGCCCACTTTAATGACTGAGTCTCGAAGTTTGAGTGGGTTTCGAAGTTAGTTCTGGTTACGTTGGGATGGGTTGGGTTAAGTAAGCGCGGGCGGATTAAATCTTGAAGCGGAATATGCCCCGTGCGAGTTCGGTAGATGGAATGAGAGGAAGAGAAGGCAAGGATAGTAACTAAAAATAGCCTGACATAAAACCGTCAGAGCAGAAAAGAAGAAGAGTTTTTGATGAATAATGATTCTTGATGAAAAGGGAGAGAGAGAAAGACAAAAGATCAAACTACAGTAGCTATGATAAGAGAATATGCAAGTCAGAAAAGAAGACATGTCGAGTCACGAGCTGAATCGGAGTTTTTCTGCCTATTCCGAGAGGGCTTTCGGCTCCAAGTCCCCCATTCATTCTAGATATCAAGACCTTTCATTAAGGCAAGAAAATAAACTGATCAGAGAGCAAGCTAAGTTCATTATAGACTGCCCTAAGATATCCCAATACTATCTGGGCCTTTTTGTCACTTAGGACTCCAGGCTGAGGTTTTCTGCCACCCCTAGGTTATATACTTAGTACTCTGTATCAGAGCTGAAGGGCCTCTTTGCGACCTCGCTGACGATTTCTCCTACGTCACAGATGCTCATCTTTTCCGCGGAGATGGTATTAATAGGTATGCACAATGATTACAAACACAAATGAATGGTGACGCAAAACCGTCAAGGGATATGTTAGGTTGTAAACTTTTCCTTTTCTGCTCACTGTCTAGAAGAGTGTATGTGCATTCCATAACTCGCTCTCATCTCATGGCAACTTTCGAGATCGTTTCACATCCGAGCCCTCGGGTATAGAACCAAGCCTTTGTAAATCAAACAAATCCTCCCCAACGCCTTGCTGTGTTTTATAAACCACAAATCGCAAACCATGCTTCTGTCGTAAATGACTATGCCACGACTCTATTCGTAATCTTCACCATCGCTATCCGTCGCTGTGCCCTCCTCAATCTCGTCCTCATCAAGGTCGTCATCAATATCATCATCGCTGTCGTCTTCGTCCTCGGCGTTTAGCCCTTGCACCGCCTTCCAATGCACGTAGTCGTTCTCGAGCCACCTTTTACTAACTGGCAGCTGATAAGGGTCGAATGGGAAATAAGGGTCTAACTGATGGAAGCTCTCATCTTGCGTCTCATAACCAGCATCTCGAAGGGCTCCTCCTGTTGAGTAGGTGGCCGTGAGATATTGCGTCAAGCGAACACGTTTGTTGCTCTCCACCAACGGATAGACGTACATAAAATTGAGACGATGTGAGATCTTGGCGAATTCCTCGACGATTACGGGCGCACAGACCTTGAGAGGGTTGAGTTTGCTGAAGATCTGCACGGAAAGATCTTTTCTGCATGTTCCCATCCACTCCATCTCCTGACCAATGTATGAAGCTGGATCCTCGGGGTCCACAAACTCCGGAGTCGATACGATCAAGTCCTGCCAGCGGAAGCAGAATATGTAGAGTGTGGCTTGAACGAGGCTGTAGTATGGCGTGAATCGCATCAGGTCTGGTCCCCGACATAAGGGTTCATATTTCTTGCGGTACTGGTCCAAGTGATGTAAAAGAAGCCCAAAGATACTTCGGATCAGGCCGCTTGGTAGATGGGCGCCACGCGCCACGAAACTGGCGAGATATGCTGCGGCAGATTGTTTGAGGACGTTGGGCGTGTTGCCCTGGAACGCAGTGGCAATAAGCTGGCCGCAGAATGCGTCTGTGAGGCGCTCATGCATCTGGGCAAAATGAAAAATGAGGAATTGCGTGTGTCGAGACTTGTATGTGGGCAGCACCAGCTGTTCAAACTCGCGTAATAGGACAGTAAACATGTCGAATGCCGTGTCCGACCCAGGGTTGGTAAAATGAGGAGTGTAGACGCTGAACAGTGTGTCCATCATGGCATCCATCTTTTCAACACTTCCCTTGATCGACTTGATTCTGGCGACATTTTCATCGAAATCGGGGTCGTCGCTGTGAACCGATTCCGCATCGCTCTCGTCGTCGGAGTCGTCGTCGTTCTCCCACTCGTCTCCTTCTGAATGTTCTCGCAGCGCGTACATGACGGCAGCAGTTACATCATCGTCGAGATCTTCCAGATCGGTTTGCATCTGAGAGTCGATCTGGACAACTCGTTTCAGGATAATATCAAAAACTTCGTCACGCGAGTCGGGCACATAGTCCTTGATACGAAGAAGGTTGTCGACATACGCCATGTGTACACGCATGGACTCGTTGTGGAACGGTAACTTGCTCACGAGGAGTTCCTCGAGCACCGAAATTGCGGAAGGAAACATCTGGAGCAAATAGTGCAGGGTGCTGTGTAGTCGATTGCGCATGGTCTCGCGGCTGACCTCAGGGAAATCCGGGACACTCCACACTGAAGATCGACTATCGGAGAATTTCCCCACCATCATCATCAGAACGGGTGACAGGTACGAACCCTGGGCGCTGACCAGGGCCGCCAGGAAATGAGTAAACACTTTCACGAAGGCATCGTCTCGTCCAAGCCAGGAGCAATTCAGAACAGTATGGACGAGACCATTACAGAGCCTGTTTTTGAGAATGGGGACACATCCAGTAAGAGCCACCACGTAAACCTGGAGTTCATGGGGCTTCAGGGTATCATCTTCCTCTCCAACGACGGGTGGTAGGTACCGCTGTTTGTCGCTGGCGAAGAGTTCCTTCAATGTGTCGTATTGACTATCGTTTCCTCTCAGGTGCTCTTCAAGGGCAGTCCTGACTTCGAGCTTCACCTCATCCATGGTCCGTCGTCCGACTTCGTACGTCACGTTTCGGGTTTCGTCTATAAAGATTCTGCGGCGTTTCGTGGGGCTCTCGGGTGCGTCGACGGGGTCGCTTAGTCCAGCATACTCGGCCTTTCTCCTCCCCAAGACAGATGCAGGCTTGAGGATGGAGCGGACAGGCGTGGAGCTCCTTGGAACAGGACCAGAGAAATTCCTGGTCGCAGGTGTAAAGGGTCTCATTGATGCAGGCCCTACTGAGTGTTTTATGATGTCTCGCTTCGTTGTGCGCTGTCGCTCGATGGAGGAGGGGATGGTTGACTCGAAGTGATGGTGGCGTCTCTCAGGCAACAACAGAGGGGTGCTTCAAGTGGGCAATCAAGGTATAATCATGGACTGAAGAGTATGTTGAAACTTTGACCGAAAAGAATCAGTAGTCATAATATGCATGTCTCAACAGCACAAGTGCCGGAAGATGGAGAGCTCGGTTTTCTTTTCTTGCCTTGTGGAAGCGATGATGAAGAAATCTCGAGGGTCGATTGTTAAGCGCTGGTGGCCATTGGAACTTTTTTTCCAATTTCTGAAGGGTACCCAATTTTCGATGACTTTTGGTGGGGACCACACGTGCCTCTCATTACCTCGATGCTCTTCCGAATCAGGAAAGGTGTATTTTCTCCGCTACTCTACTTTTGTTTTAGTGATTGCGTCACACTTGATACTGAAGTCAACCTCACTTCATGCGTTGCAACAGTTGTTCTTATTCCCTGTGTCGACAACGATCCATCAAGTTCCCATTGAGATGGATTATTGACCCTTCCATAACTGCGGGAAACCCGAGAAGTTTCTCTCGTGATCACAACTTCCTAGATAAATGATTCTTTCTCGAGTTATGAGAAAACGCCATCTAGGAACTGTCGTTTTGCATTCAAAGCTCATGCCATCACCACTGTAAAAACATTAATAATAGGCATAGTCTCAGATAGTTAGACGCATATTGAAACAAACAGACTGTGGGTGTTCATTTATCTGAAAACTACTGGCCCAAAACTCCTTGCCTCTGGACTCAATGCATATCCGTTAGTCTGCTCCCAAAGACCCTTTCTGACTGTCGTGATTATTAACACTAATCATTTTGGGACTGCTCCCAAGCTTGCAGGCAAGTACCAGACGCAAATCGCACCTCTATCTCTGAACACCAACCCAGTCATATCTCCCATATATGCTCCCAACCCTTCCCTACAATACCGTCCTCAACTTTTCCTCATACCATGTAAGTCTGCCACCGTTTCTGAAGTCCACGTCCACATCCCGGGGGAAAGCTTCTTGTGGACAAAAATACACTTGTATTAGAGTGCAGCGTCTGAGATGATTGGGTTGCTGTCGATACCATTAACTGAGCTAATACTCGCAACCGATATGATGAACCTATGCTGTTCAGAAGGGGTATACTGCCGCTGGTTAGAAGAACCATTCGAGTGGAGGTTGGTACGATCGCTGTTGGGGCCAGGGAGTGGGTTGTTGAGGCCATGCTTCGCCGCTTTCGTCTTCGTCGTCCGCTCCTCACCGCAGGCAGCGTTTTAGTAGCCCTCGGCAGCGTTGCCATTGTGGCCAGGTTGTGAGGCATAAATGTAGTTAGGATCACCCCCAGCCTCGACGCCGTTTCCGTCCTGTCCAAACTCGCCCACGGCACTGGGCTCTGGTTTGGCATCATTCAGCCATTGTGGATTACTATCCATCCCCACTCGATCGCGGTTCGACTGATTCTGTTGCTGTTGGTGATTCGCGTTAGCAACTGAATGATAGAAGTATCCTCAAACTTCTCTTGCTACTCGGTATAGGCTCCTTCAACGACAAAGCTTACAAGGAGCATACCCGCAAGTCATCCACTCAACAGATCCAGGGTCCCTGCTGGTAGACTATTTGACTTACCTCTCTGTACTTGCTGAGGTAAACTTTCAGCGCTTCCGCGTAGTTCTCGAAACCGAGAGACGTCATGGCGAAAAGAATGTCTTCACCATTTACGGTCTTGCGTTTCTCTTGCTGGCATTTCTCCGACGCTGTGCAAGTCAGCATACTGCAGATCAAAGACATGACTCGGATATTCAAGTGCAAGTCTCAGTAAGGTTGTGGAGTCATTACTCACCCTCGCTCGTGATGAAAGAGATAAATTCGCTGACACATTCTTGCATACACTCCTTGGCCTCTTTCGCGATCTTTGCGTTTTCAGGTAGTGCGTTTTTCATGATACGAGCAACTGGAGCAAAGTTTCGAATGTTAGCATCAAGCTCATCAGCCCTGTCGGCCTTAGAGGCGCGAGGCGCTTTGGGTGATTTGGGGGACGAATCGCAAGACATGAGAGGGATCCAGATATGCACGGCTGGGCGGGCTGAGGCGTCAAACAGCTCGCGCAGAAAGGGACGAACAAATCATATCAGGATGCCTCTGTAGATAGATAACTTACCATTGGCTATAGGCAACCATCGATCCTGTTCCTTTACACCCTCATACTCGTAGCCCGCTGAGTTTGCGGCTTGTGGGTCTTGTTGCTCGTTCATTTGTGCTTCGTCGTCGGGTGATGGTGCACCATGGTCAACCTCCTTGGGAGCAGCGGATTGGGGGGAATCCGACATATTTGGCTACCTGCAGCGGCTGCTAGCGTCCTTTGTCAAAGGGGATTTCGGGCTCGCACAGCTGGACCTTGCGATGATGTGTCCCCTGGCCACGTCGCAGATGGTAGGGCTTGCAAGCGTCAGGGTGTGCGAGAGAGGAAGAGGGGTCTTGGTTCTGCGGTGCTGTGCAAAGTCAATCAAAGAGTACTGTACCGATGAGGGTTCCTCGTCACTAATGCAGGTGGTCCCTGGCCCGGGATCTTGGGGCTATGACGCTGTCCGCTTGGGTAATTTTGGGGGCGTGTGCTTGTGAGGTAAGGAGTGGTTGATGTGGATGTCTATTGTCAAGACAAGGAGAGGTGAGGTGAGGTAAGGCTAAGGTAACCAAGATACAGGACACGGAGCGGAGCAGGCACCGGAGGGGGGTGGGCCCCTCCGGTGTAAAGCCAAGTGAAGAGAAGGCGGGGGACCATGACTTCGAGGTCCGGTAGAGAATTAAGGGCATGCATGGTATGGGAGGAGGACAGGAAGAGGCTTTGATTCAAAGACATATTGGTACGTACAGTCCAGCGAATACAAACCAAAGTGAGGTAGACAAGTCGCGCGAGCTTCGAGCTGTTTTGTAACAGGCCTAAGCCGGCTGATAGATACAAATCAAGAGCAAAGGCCGACGCGCGCAAGCCAAAGCTGTAGCACACGCGTTGGAAGCTCAAAGGATACGCGCAGCCAAGTGAATTACGCGCAGGACGGCAGGACGCAGGTCAACAGCGATGGCGATGGCGATACACCTCAGTAGGTAGTGACGTCGCCCGGAAGCGTCTCAGAATCGACGGGACGGAGCGGCGCAGATTCGGGTCGCGATTTAGCTGGAGACCAACGGCGAATTGCACGGGAGTGCGAAGGTTCTACCGGGTACGGAGCTTGAGAAATGTGTTACACGAGAATAGTAAGCGTCTCGTTCGCCAATGTCAGCTCTAATATGCCGCGGGGGTTCTACCAAATCGCGTCAGATCCAGAGTCAGAGGGAACAATAAGAGCTCGGGAGAGGACGGGGCTGGGGCGTGTGTAGATTCGATGACTGATTGAGGATGGAGCGCGATGGGGTTCGCCAGCAGGGGAAAGCAAAGAGTTCAGTGGCGATGGAGGCGAGGCTAGAGTGAGTGAGAGTGCGAGGAGCAGCGAGCGAGAGGGTGTCTGAGTTGTTCGCTTGTGGTCGCAGTTGAGGTGCATATGTGGAGTGCAGCAGCGGGCGTGGGGTTCTTTTCTGGAAAAGAGACTTACAATTGATTGATTGCAGCTGCTATTAAGCAAGCGAGACGATAAGATGGTCAGTATGGGATATGCGGTCAAGACGCGATCCAATTAGCCAAGTTGCGTTGATCAATTTTGGCAAGGTAAAGAAACTTGGTCAGTTTTGCTGGTGGTGGATGGAAGTGGAAGTGAGGTTAGATGGATGTTTCGTTTCCAATGACACGCCAACAACAAACCCAAGGCCAAGGCTGAAAGCCTAAGGCGGCGCCGGGCCCCAGCAACCTACACACTAACTAAACCCGCACTGTTAACTTTTAGACCCTGGCGCCATTGCTTAAGTTCTCTCCTCTGGAGGCCGCTTCCATATTAGACGTTATCGATAACGAACTCGGGCCGTATTCTATCTAACCCTTTTTGATGGTGGACTTTCAGTGTCGGACCCAGTCAACTCAGGAGCACATTGGAGTTTATTAGCCATACAACCCCTCGCAAGAAAGCTACACCAAAGCTTACAGACACAGTGCTGATCTTTTGCAGAAGGTGCTCCAGTTCCTGTATAACTATCGATCCTTTCGACACCGCTATATCAATCCGACTGACCCGGACAAGGAATACTCGCTCGATGGACCATCCATCTGCTCGCTTCCTTGATTCCTTCAGCCGCTAAAGCCAAAAGCCCTGGGCTTGTCTAGGAAAGTAGGTAGGCAAGTTGCTGCAAACACTCCCATGGGTACACAGGAGCATGGCCCCAGGCGGTGTGTCGCAAACTCTTTTTCACCTACCTTGGCTTGGGGGGCCATCGTACGAAAAAGAACCCGTGTTTACAGTGATACCTACTGTCCTGTACTGGCCGAGGAAACGTGTGAGATGGGCATTCAGGTGCTACACCCAATATCAGCTCTGCTATAGATGCGCTGCAACGAGGCCTTCTACTGCGGTGCTGTTGGGTCAGGATATTTCAACAAACACATCTCTGCGAACATGACCCCATCTCCAATGCCTCCTCAAAATGACGTCCAGGCACTCACTCACTATCAGGCACTTGACCGGTCATGATCAAGTCCACCTGGGCGGTAACGGAAGAAGGGGGGCATTCTGATTCCTTATTCGACAATGGCATTTTCATCAAGCCACCCATCAAAACTGTATCCACGCTTCCATCGCCAGGGTTCAGTTTGGGCTGAGCTGTTGGGGTAACCCATTGTCGGCCTCATTTGTACGTCGCAACCTGTAAGCTTCCACATAGTATGCCTCAGATGCAAGCCAACAACTTAGCCACGAGTTCTCAGCCTAGCTCAAAAATTGTAGTCCAATAAATAGTTCAGCCTCCTTGTAAAACATGGTCAACGACCTGGTCCAATGCCTGCAAGGACCCGACAAACTGGAGTGTTGGTCATCTCAGTTACGGCTTGGTTGTACCAATCATAGAGGCCTTATCATCATATGCCATTGTTCCGTACAGTTGATTTGGAACTTTAGTTTATTCAAGGCTCATCAGGGCCTCTGAAACCTTAGCAAGTCTTCCAATGTAAGCAATATGGAGTTCATGCCAAATGTTGAGGCATTCTCATGATTGGAACCCAACGCATCCATCCCTAGCCAAGCCAGCCGAGCCACAAACAACTTGAGAACTTATGTTACAGCATCTGTTTAGGATAAACGACTGTGATAGCCTCATCAAAGTTCCTGCTGACCGCCCCCTGGCACAGTCAATGTGAAGCCGGCAATGTGCGTTAAGGGACGACTTGGTGGTATGACCACGAAAAGTGGCAGATCTTTTATTGATGTGTTGCGATGATAAGAGTCCCTGAAGATCTTATACCCCGTTCATCACGGTTTGATAGCTACCAGAGAACCACACGACAACGGTTTTCAGTAACAAACAAGCCTGTGAAGGCGTTATCAGTGAGCCATTAATATCAGTCATTCTGTCCTTCAGGTCTGATTGGACTCGATCTCATCAAAGCCATTCCAGAGATCATATTTTCATGGAACAACAAGCGTCTGATAGAGCATTGGAACGACCGCTGTGCCGCAGGGCCTCCATTTGAAGAGGGGACGTGAGTGCAGTATCAACCAGTCAGAAGTACATATTATGGCTTCTGCATGTCAACAACCGATCTGCTGCGCGAGAGGAATGCACTAGCCCCCACAAGGTCATTATGATGCTGTTACTCTTGACAAGGTGGTGGAGAGTTGTCGGAGTGAAGGCAGCAACTGATGACTTGCAGTTCATGGCTACGCTGCCCCATATCGATCAGACTCTTTTCAGATCTCGGTGAAGATCAATCAGACATGTAACTTTGATTGACGTTGCATACACATGAAAACGCCAGCTGTCCATCGTACTATCTTTGTCATCCTTCGGTTTTCTTATTCTCATGCAGTTCGCCTTGATGCACACGTCTTCGGTTGAGGCATGAAATATGATGTAAGTCTTGCAAAAGTCATGAGTTTCAGACAGATTGAGTGTGCGGAAATTTCCTCATTTTCTCCTCAAAAGGCATCACCATCATCAACAGTGGTCCGGCACGAAGGTACATATGGCCAGTTAATGCAACCGGTGGGCAAGCCTCGTCAATCGGGGTGTTTCTGTCCATACAAACACATGCCCGCTGTCTAGGTCTTGCGTTGCATTACATTGCATTGTATGTTTGACGTCCTGCATGTCAAAAACTCTGATGCTTCTGGGGCCTCAATGCGGTTGGGCATGCAGACGCTTTTGCCGCCATAACCCCACAGCGCGCAGCAAGTGTACAACGCATCAACACCATCTTTCCATTTCTTCCGTCGTGTTGCTGGTTCAGCCTGAAAGGCAGACATTTGGAAGGCAAGCAGGCCACGAAATTCCGTCTTATCCGCGTCCAAATGAGGCTGGAGCAGAAACATCGGGAGGTTCGATGGAGTGGCATTTGTAGAGAGAAAGGGATTTTGAGGAGTAATTGCGTTGTTGTAAGCTCTGTCGTATAAGGTTGTGTTAAAAAGTGGCATATCTAAATTGCAAACATGCAATTCTCTGGTAATTCTCAAAAAATAAATCCTTTGTGGCACTAATGCAAGCATTTTGTTTTATTCTGTCCTTGTAGTCTCATTATTGCTGTACAACCTGCACATTGTTCTTCTTCTGTAGGAATCATTAATATCGGCTGTACTCCTAAACCAACGGCTGAAATCTCAAATTTTCTCTTACCTTCCACTTCTCAAGATCATCCTGCTTCGTCTTGTATTGCTTCACCAAATCATCCAGCACCTTGCGAAGCCCTTCTTGGTTGGTCTTGAGGGCTGGTACTACATCCTTGACCGTCCTCTCAACAAGCACACCGTTGATGAGACGGAAACACTTTCTGTCTTCTGAAAGGGGTTCTAGTGTCTCCAAAACAAGCCTGTTGAAGATCAAATCAGAATCAGTGGTTCAACACGCGGTAACGCTATGTTGTAGGAGGAGTTTGGGCAAGCCGACACCATGCTCAAACTGTTTGAATGACGGTGAAGACAATAGTGAAGAGTAAGCCACTTACTTGTGCTCCTCGGCTTCTTGCTCAATGTCACCAATTCTCTGAGCTATTTGCTGAAGAGTGTTCTTGTAGTTGGAGTAGGTGACTTGAAGATCTAGATAACGTGAGTAAGAGGCGGCGTCGTGAGATGTGTCAGGGGGGGGGTGCTGACCTTGCTGCTTCTTAGCAGGTACCTGAGCCGCTGAAGACATCCTTTTTTTTTTTTAAGAAGCAAAGTGTTTCGATATATTGCTTCTCTCTGGTGGTTGTGTATCAATAGATATTCTCTTGTGTGGAAATAGAAGCCAACGCAAACACAATGCCCCTCCAAATCCCATGGAGCCTCCCGCCTGGTCCGTGCACTCCCGACCCAATATTCAATCTCCTCAGCCTGTGGCGATCACTGGATTTCTTTCAGGGTCCTCCAACTCTATCCAGTATATCAACATCATCATGCATCCTCATCTTCACACAAAAAACGCTCTCGGTAAGTCCATTGAGCGCTGTATCGCCACTACTCACTAACTCCAGTTACAGCGTGCGAAGAGGTCATCGCTGCTCTCGAACAGTGCCATAGCCAAGGCTTCATGCACAAGGCTGTTGGGAGCTGCAATGACGCCAAAGAGAAGGTCAACGAATGCTTAAAGATCGAACGATCAAAGATGCAAGCCGAGAATCGAAATGCTGCCCGGGCGAAGCGCGACAAAATCCGGGAGCAACAGCGCGAGTTGGGACTGTGATTTAGAAACACCTCACGATACGATGCCAACGACCCGAATTCGACACGAAGCGAATCCATTGACGATGGGCTGTATTCGACCTGTATACTAGAAATATTTGGGCTGGCGTTCTGGGCGATAAATTCATGACAAGGAAGCATGAGATTGTGACAGTATAAGTATCAATCATCATACGACCCTATTTCAGTTACCAGGTTGCTCTTAGTCGCCATGAGGTGCATGTTCCTATATCACGATTACTTCTTGAAACCAAACTGGTATTAGGATGCCGAGAGTTGTGATCAAGCAAGACGATATGTATTGTGAATTATGTACACTATTAAAATATTGTCTATCTCATGTTCATGACTCTTGAAAAGATGCGTGAATATGAAAGGAGGAGGAAGAAAAGGAGAAATCAACCGAGGGTCGATGACTCAGTGAAATCTCTACAGGAGAAAAGCAAGACCAACCATCAAGAGAATTGTCATCAGCATTCCTTGGATCGCCTTTACTACGGCCCCTGAGACAATGACAATAGGAGCATCTGGCACAATCACTGGTGTATGAGCTGGAGCTGGCCTGCGGTGAAACGTTGGCTTGGGTGCATCAGGATAACCGTTTCCTCCCAAAGGCACTGCAGAAGGTTCCGCTTGACCATGGCTACCCTTGGCTGCAGGGGAAGAGTTCTTGGGCCGAGTCCCCTGAGTATCCGGCTTAGGCTCGTAATGTTGAACGCTGTGGGTTTCGTGAGCCGCATATTCTCTTGTGGGAGCTGCGACAACTGCACCAGCTGGAATGTTAAGAGTAATGGTGTTCTCTCCATTGTGACCACACCTATTGCAACCCACCTCGATAGTCGTCATCTCAACCGTTGGCGGTTTCTGATACTGACATCTGTGGCAAGGGGGCGGTCGCAACGTGGTACAATACTCAGTGATAGTCAAGTAAGACGGGTCATTAGGGTCAACAATGGTGTATGTTACAGTGGTGATTATTGGTGCCACAGCTTCGGTTCTGGTGAAGTTGCCTGCATTATAAGAGACAGTTGTCGGGAATGGGGGCGTGATCGGCTTTGCGCCTTCTGATCTAGTGACAGGAACTGAAGGCTCAAGGCTGATGACCGAATCAACAAATGTTTCTGTGCTTGAGGATGGAGAATTCGAAATTGTCGGGTTGTCGGTAGGGAAGCTGGAAGACTCAGAGGTCAAGATAGGTTGAAGAGTGATCCTTGTAGAGACTGTGAGAGAAGGTATCTCTGCTGTGCTAGGAGCGTCCGAAGTGGTCAAAGAGCTGGATGTGGCTTCAATCTGCGCATACAAAGTGAGCAAAATGCCAGGAGGGGCATCTCGACGTCGAAGGCGCGAGTCCAGGCTTGAGTCGGTCAAAATCACACCGCCACAGAACAGGCCCGGGTCCCCAGGGCATGGCAGATCACAGCGACCGTTGGTCACAATTTCAGCAGAGTCCAAAGTATCTGCTGCATAACAGGATCTAATAAAGGTGAGCCAGATGAGCTTAGCATTAATGACTTAGAGCCTACCTCTGGTAGATGCCTATATAAGCACGTCCTCTTCCTAACCTGGCACACTCTGCAGTGGTCATATCAGGTCCCTCTCCGATCAAGCCAAAGCTGGGATAACCAGCTGCAGATCCTAAGCAACCGAAGAACTTGAAAGTCCCGATCACTGCTAGGTTAGACGGTACGGTAGAAGATGTAGCAACTGTTGATGTCGCTGGAAACGGTGTGTGCTGGGCTGTTGAAGTGATGGCTGTTGAACGCTTAGTGTCAGATCCAGTTTATGCACATGGGGTGAAGTTTAAGGGGGAAACATCAGAGGTCACCCTCGTCGTGTATAAATGTCTTACCGTCACTAAAGCTTGTCTCCTCCGCTGGGTTTGAAATTGTGTCTGTCGAGGACTCCGTCTCTTCGGCAGCACTTGTTTCCAAGGACTCGGTTGCGGTCATATCTGGTATGGGGGCTAGTTTCGCTGTTAGTACTGGGCTCTTTGCAGCTGTGAATACAATGACTGTGGCAGGAGGTATGGGCTTTTTAGATATATGCGGTGAGAGCTTACTTGTTGCTGACTCGCTTGAGAGGTCACTACTCAAGCTCAGGGTGACCTCATCGGTAGATGTTGGGACTGCTAGGATAGTTGATGGCACTTGAACTTCTTCCCAAGAGGTAGTTGTACTATCAATGGGACTGTCGGACAAACTCGTTGTTTCGAGGCTGGTAGTGCTCTCATTGGAAGAGTTTGGAGCTGGTTTAGTGGCAGTATCAGATGTTGGGGCAGTAGTGGGTTCGACTACGATGGTTGAAGACTCTGTAACTGTGTCACTTCGTTCGACACTTGTTGTATCTGCTGTTATCATGGTAGAGTTTGGGAGTTCTTCTGAAGTGACTGAGCTACTGGCTTCGGTCGATGTCTCCATAACGTCTGTGGTAGTGTCTGTGGTAGTGTCTGTGGTAGTGTCTGTGGTAGTGTCTGTGG